TTGCAGAATGGTTTTGGTGGTCACATTAGACAACCAGTTAGACTTATCAAGGAATATGGTGCTGGGAATCTATTTGTTGGCGAATCTGGTATTAGCAATCCTGATATTAGTGAGACTGTGGGTAAAAGAGGTGACTCTTGTTCGCTTTTAACATAGGATATCGAATCAGTGATCAGAACAATTCAGGCAGCAATTCAACTGACTTTCAGCCACACTTCGGTTACCCGCAATCTCCGGTCAACTTGAGTGGCGAATTGATATCACTACTACAACTCTTAATGAAGCTGGTTAGTCTGAAAGTGACCTAAGGTGAGGGAGAGCATCAGGTCCTGACAGGCTTACTCCAGAGATTTTGAAGGACGATGGTTCAGTTTTATTAGTATGTCTAACTGCGGTCTAGCATTATCATTCGAGCGCGTTTGTCGACTTCTAAACCGATAAGGCAAATAATGCGTAATTATTTTCATGTGTTTGAATTTTTCATGAAATTTAGGTTGACACTGTACCCTGAATATTATCGTCGACACAGCCACATCGGACATATCGATCATTTGTCTGTGTAATATAATCGAATTTTCACCGAATCACATCATTATTTGTAAGACTATATCATATAAACCTTGTTCTTTTAGTGATGACCGAGTTGAGATTGACCATGATCACCACTAAATACTAATGACTAGCCTGTCAAAGTTAATAAGAAATAAATCCAAAATGAAGAATATCGTTAAAGGAGAAAGTAAGCGACATAACGAGCAGCATGTAACATGTGATGACAGCAACACAAAATAGAAAGTTGCGCGTAAGTAACTGTTTTTAGTGTAGTTAAACAAAAGAATTACAATAGTAAATGTTTCCTTTTCACCAACTGCGTTCTCTTCATAGAAGCATTCCACCACAACCTCATTACATCATAATCAGATGAAATTTTTCATATAAGAAAAACCCACTCATCGTAATCATATGCAAAAAAAAAACATTTCACCATTCACTAATAATCTATATCGGTACTTCTCAAAACTTACATTTATCCACGAAATATCATCATTTCATATCATCATTAAATATCTGCATCCAATGTAAAACTTAATCAATCATCTCACCAACCAAACTAACTGTGTCACATTTCAGATCTCACTTTTAACACTGATCATTATGGTCGTCGGGTAAGGATGGCAGATCAATAGATGATGATGAAGTATTGAAACTGAATCAGTTGAGATGGTTGTGATATGTGTTTTGTATGCCTAACCACCGACCACCTCGTCGAGCTACACTCTGCGATGTAGGAATAAGTTGGAAGAAAGCTAAGGGCGGCCAAACCAAAATATGGTAGAAATCCATGAAGTCACTGACAAGTGGACTGAGTCATGTTGGTACGTGTCGACTACTTGGTTAAGGCCACCGAGATGATAGTAATCAATGGTTAGAGACCCTGAATGACATGTCTCAAAACCGTTTGCAATGGTGTAGGTGCATGCACTCTTTATGTTCTCCGAAATTCTGATCTTCCTCTACTATGCGATTTGAAATGACAATTGCATCACTGGTCTAGTGTGATATAGCAGTTTCTACTGATATACGTACGTACGAAGTTCTAAGTTGTTGTTGACTGACTGATAATGAACTCAGTATTTCGCTAGAGATAGCTATTTGTGGAGATGTTGTTTTGCATATATTGACGTGCTGCAATCTGGTTTCTTGTGTGTGTGTGTGTGTGTGTGTTCGCGTAAATCAATGTGTGAAATATACTAAAAATAATAATAACAATCTTCAACTGGTGTTCATTGTTTCGGCGGTTTTTCACCGTATTTCGACGGCATTAATATTGGCCAGTCTAAATGAGTTCGTGCAACAGCGGTATGGCATCAAGTCTTACTCGTCAATAACCTCATTTCTCTAAGTTGACTTTTGTCATGCGAAAATTAATGAAAACACGTTAGTTTTGCTCAAAGCGTTCACATCATCACATCATGAGTCGATGAACAAAATGTGACATTATTATTATTATTATTATTATTATTATTATTATTATTATTGATAATATTACTGTTATTGAATTGCATAAACTGATCACTCACTATTCCATAGTATTGACAGAGACTCAAAGCAATCGACCAGCTGCTACTTGAGTTCAATATCAATAATGAGACACAGACATGTAGACAACTACAGTGGTTTCTGAGCCACACGCAACAACATTAAAAGCATTACGGGAATTGATCAAGTTAGACATTAACACCGTCAGATACAGGCTCAGTGGTCCGATGGTTAGGCGTTCGCTTACAATACCAAAGTTCCTGGGTTTGACTCATGCTGGGTGCAGCAGTCGTGGATGCGCACTGCTGAGGAGTCTCATACCAGGACGAAACGGCCGTCCTGCAGTACTTCCACCTTTCTAATGGTGGTCTAACACATTGATCGAGTCACGGTTTCAAAAAATCAAACATTAGAAGCCTCTTGGTTATATTTGCAGAATAAACTCAACTTCACGTATTACATACACCAAAACAGTGGTGAGTGAGGTCAAGTTATTCACGACACATAGTAGTACTTAACACGCAGTATAATCCAACAGATAACAATTAATCAATTAAATCGATATGGGCATCTTCATAAACAAACAAAGTGAATGCCTTTTGAGTCATTGAGACCAGTCACAGTATGTCTGTTTGCCTATCCATCAATCTGTCTAAACGCCTTTTGAGTCATTGAGACCAGTCACAGTATGTCTGTTTGCCTATCCATCAATCTGTCTATCTATCTATCTAACTACTTACCTGCCTTTCTTCCTGTATGCCTGTCTGTTTATCATCTGGATTTGTCAACTTATTTTCTTGCGCACAAGTGTTTTGATTCAGAGTTGAAATAAAATAATTAACGTTTCATCACAAAGGTTAATAGTTACTCGTTACTTTTTTCGACTTCGTCAATATTAACACCAGTAGTGTTCGAGTAGAGAGCTTGTAAAAATTTAATGTACACTTATTGTACTTCTTTCGGATGACAGACACTACTACGCAACTTAGCAATCAACAGAGTGAAATGCCGCCTTAAGATCGAGAAATACAACGATTGTCGAGCATCTGAATATGTTATGTGTCTGTGTTCTAAGAACTGACGAAGTGTGAATATCTGGTCTACACATCCACGTTCAGTTTTGAAACTGCCCATGGTTTTTATCCGGTCTCCTCTTTAAGATCCCTAGTTAGGCATCGAAGTATTTCTGAAGCTTATTTTATGGACACAATATTAGTTAAAGTAATTCCTATATGACAGACACAAGACGACATTTATCCATTCTTAAAGACAGATTGATTGAGACCAGTCGAATAGAATTTCGTCCAGTTCCTGGATTCTCTCTAAGATCGCAGTTAAACATACTAATAAAACTGAACCATCGTCCTTCAAAATCTCTGTAATAAGCCTGTCAGGACCTGATGCTCTCCCTCACCTTAGGTCACTTTCAGACTAACCAGCTTCATTAAGAGTTGTAGTAGTGATATCAATTCGCCACTCAAGTTGACCGGAGATTGCGGGTAACCGAAGTGTGGCTGAAAGTCAGTTGAAATGCTACCTGAAATGTTCTGACCATTAATTCGATATCCTATGTTAAGAACGAATAAGAGTCACCTCTTTTACCCACAGTCTCACTAATATCAGGATTGCTAATACCAGATTCGCCAACAAATAGATTCCCAGCACCATATTCCTTGATAAGTCTAACTGGTTGTCTAATGTGACCACCAAAACCATTCTGCAATCAATAAACAACAGGAACGGAAGACAACTAGTCTGTCCTCTAACGACGACCACATTCTGACTTGTCCAAATCCAACTGTAACAAACAACACTTGTAGTGAACAAGAACACAGGTGGGGCAATTGAATCGTGTTTAGCGAAATTACAGAGTTAATCAGTAAAATTGGAAAACCATATCGTAAATCGTTCATTTGCAAAGTATCAGTTCAATCTATCGAACTGGACTGTTCCTGTTGCAAAACATCAATCCAATGTCACTGTTCATGCGTTTCATACAAATTCCATTGTGTTCTAACTCTTCCTTTCTTGATCTTCCCACATATTATGCTGCCAGACATTACGTTGACACTCACATCATATACTACTTATAAGTAGCTCACACCACACACGAATTATCACTAAACATAGATATTCATCGTCATCATATGTCACACGTTCCTTCATGTCTAGACACACACACACCCACACACACACAAACACACAATTCAATTACTTCACACAAATCCATGAAAATCGACAACAATACATGAATGAGCCACAAGTGACTGTCATTAAGAAAGACTGAAAAGTAACAACTCGCAACACATTCACAATGATAAATCATACAATCAGAGTTTATGAGTAATCAGTTAGTTATTCAACAGCTCAGGTAGAAAACATTGAGTAAATATTTATAGATAATCAACTTGTCACTTAACAATCAAACAACAACTAGACTAAACACAACAATAATCCCCCTTCAATGCATTCTTACGTTACTCAATATCCACCTTCATCTTCATTCAAAAATCGCAATCTATAAAATAAATTTTACCAAGTAATTATTTCTACAGAAAACACTTTAACAAATCCTATCATATACAGATGAGATTTCATCTCAGCAATCACTTAGTACGAAGTCATTTTCACCATCCATCTTCTTAACAATTATCTAACATTGAGAATGATACTCACTCACAATATCTCACATCATTTCATTCATTTACAAGAGATCTATCTATTCACTAAATAGATGATAGAAAGATCGATAGATAAATAGATCGATCGATCGACCGACCGACCGGTCAATCGAATCAGACTGACTGTGTCTCATCGATTACTCTTGATTGATTCAAATCATATTTAAATTTTATTCTGTTGAATTAAATTGTCGACATTTAACCTTTCTTGTCAGACAAATTCACAACACACGTTGAAACGGATTAGTTCACTTTGACCACCTACCACACACATATTCAATGTCTGAAAACGAATTACAACTGAATAATCTTTCATTGGGAAGACGATTATCAATTATCACTAAGGCACAATATCGATATGAAGGAATAATTGCAGGCATCAATCTAATTGAAGGTGTATTGACTTTGCAAAATGTACATTTTCACGGTATTGAAAATCGGAAACCTCCTGACGGTACATATCCTATCGGAGATGAAGCATCCATAGTTGGAACAGTTTTTGATGCAATCGCATTTCGGATATCTAATATTTGTCAAATATGTCCACTGAATGATGAAAAATCACTTCGAAATGAATCACACAATACAGCTGTACACACGAAACAAGCTGCATTAGATGACAGTAATAGAAAGAGACGAAGACGACAGACTACTTGGGTAAGTCAACATTGTTAACTAAATTGAATGTGAAATGTGTTAGTATGTTTACTCGGAGACTCATAAAAATGCTAACTAAATATAATCGAATCCAAATATGTGATTTGCAGCACTGATAGGTGGCACACATTTGAGTGTGTGTAGACTTCTGACTGGTTGTAGAGCAACGCTTATCATCTGTAATCTATCATTGTTGTTTCGTACAGATTGACTGTAAAATTCGATTAGCATGACACTTTGGTTGTGTTACAATGCGTCCAACCAATGAAGAGTAGCACAATGAATAAATATTAACTGACATTAAGCCATTAGTTATCTACTTAACATACACTCACGGTGCTTTAATTGTGTAGTATGATCATTTTTAATAAAAATGTTGACGTTGAGCTTAACAATTTTATGTGGAAGTGTAAATTAACAAAGTCACAAACTCAGAACCACTAAAATAGTTCAGGTATACTAAAAACACTTGTATACTTCACATTCGGCCATGAATGTGATCCGTACTCTTTGAAAAACGATTCGGAAAAGCGCCAAGACAGAGGCCATGACGACACTGACAAGTGGACTGAGTCATGTTGTTAGATATAGACTACCTGGTTGGGGGCCCGACCGTAGTTGCTACCTTGATGTGGTAGTCGGGTTTGCCTATCATGATGAACCAACAGAGCTATATTGGCTGGAATATATGTTCCTGAATGTTCTACCATGCCACCAGGCAGGTCGATTGGAGAACGATGAGACTAAAAGAAGCTACTCAAAGTGTGATTGTAGAGGGGTGTGACATCAGTAAGGTGTTTCTCTCAGACTGATAAAAAGCCTACGTAACGACCGCGAACAGTGATGTGTGGCGAAAGGAAAAGCGATGGAAAAGGCAGCGGCGCTAGACAACACTGGACAACTTTTCCGTCTTATCAAAGAAACCGGTATTAGGAGCCCGAATGTGAAAGAGACTATCTCAGAAAAGGATGACTGTATCATTTATTCTCAATCCAGTAGATTGGATCGATTGGCAGAACACTTTAAGGACCAGTTCAACTGGTCTTCAGCCACACTTCGGTTGCCCACGATCTCCAGTCTAAATGAAGTTGAGAAAGCTGTAGGAAATGTAAAGGGAGTTAGAGCAGCAGGTCCTGATATGCTTACCCCTAAGATGTTTAAGGATGGTGGTCCAGTTTTAACAGTTAGACTGACCGAGATATTAGGTAGAACCTACGAACTGGACAAAGTCCCATCTGACTGGTCTCAGTCACTAACTGTCTCAATCAACAGGATAGAACAAAAGTCCTCTTGTGACAATCACAGTGGAATCAGTCTAACTCATATAGTTTCTAAATTGTTAGCCTCCATTATACTTAGACGTCTAACTAGAGCTCGTGAAGAGCAGACTAGAGAAAACCAGGCTGATTTCAGACCTGGACGTGGTTGTATGGACCAGATATTCACACTACGACAGGTAGTGGAACACAGACACACATTTAGACGTCCGACAATCGTTGTGTTCCTGGACCTAAAAGAGGCATTTGACTCAGTGGATTGTGAGGTTGTGTGGCAGTGTCTGTCATTGAAAGGTGTACCAATGAAGTATATTAACCTTATACAAGCTCTCTATTCGAACACTACTGGTCAAGTGAGAGCCTTTGCCGAACTGTCATCAGAATTCCCTACGTCAAGTGGTGTCCATCAGGACTGTCCACTCTCTCGATTCTTGTTTAACTTTGTCATAGACATCCTCTTTGAGTTACCATTAAGGTCGACAGATTTTTCAGGGGTTGTCCTTCTACCAGGAAAATCGCTTACTGATCTAGAATATGCCGATGACGTAGTTCTATTGGGTGAAGACGCTGACACACTAAGTAACAATAGAAGCATGTTAGGGATGCGGTTTTCCCCGTCGAAATGCAAAATATTGCTTCAAGATTGGGTTTCATCGGCACCTGATCTAGTGATAGGGAGTGTAGTAGTCGAACGTGTTGATTGCTTCATTTATCTGGGGAGTCTAATCAGCGCTGATAGCCTGGTGACTGACGAAGTCTCAGCGTGGATACAGAAGACTTAATCGGCTTTTGCCAAACTGCGTCACTTATGGCGTAGGCGGGATATACGTTCGATAAGCAAAGGACGGGTTTACTCCGCTGCAGTTCGCCCCGTTCTCATATATGGATGCGAAACATGGCCGTTAAGAGTAGATGTTCGTAGGTTACTAGTATTCGATCATAAATATCTAAGAAGCATTGTTCGTATATCGTGGGACGACCGAGTAAACACTGCTGTCGTTAGGAAACGAGTACAAGTTAGATGAAGTGGTGAAACTTCATCAGTTGAGGTAGTTTGGTCATGTGTTACGAATGCCTAAACACCGACTGCCTCGACGAGCCGTTTTGTGGTGTAGGAGTAGATTGGAAGAAAGCTAAGGGCGGCCAGACCAAAACATGGCACAAATCCATGAAGTCACTGACAAGTGGAATCAGTCATGTTGGTAGATGTAGGCTACGTGGTTGAGGTCCGGTAGTCAATGTCTGTGAGTTCCACAGATTGCTGTTTTATTACTGCTGAGTTTACGAATACTTCGATCGTGAACCGAACTTAATATTATCAGTGGATAAATATGTTATTCTGTAGTTCAAGCGATTCGATTTGTGATTATTGGTTTCAGTAATCAACAAACCAACTCTCTCCAATGTCACATAAACAACCGTAGAGATTCAGTACACATCATCCATAATCATGTTTGCTTTGTAACAGATTTAACTAAACAAAACGTCACACATATTACAAAGTAACATTAACAATGTTTTGTGCATTTTCATTCAATCTCGTCTGTAGTATTATGCTCCAACACAACACAACGGCTCCACCAGAACAAGCTCATTTCGAAACAAACACACCAATGCAGATTTGTCAGTTGTGAATACACACAGAAATTCAACAAATCAACGAGCCATCCGACAACCACCAACTCTCGTCACCTACTCTCGTAAAGGTCGAAATGGCCTATCAATACCGAATCAAAGAGACTATATACCCGTCATCCCGATTGTCACACATCCGCCAAATCTATACAACAAATCTGCTCATCCTTTCAACACACGATATTCTAACAAGAAACAAAATCAACATATGCGAATTCCAAACAACAACTACACACACCATATTCACAACAGCAGTGTCAATCCATATGGTGGAGTGTATATTTATTTACCTCCTCAAGTGCCAACAACATTTCAACAACGATCGTTCAACTTCGTAGCTCCTCCGGTTAGGCGGACTAAACGTCGTGTGTTCGAAAGAAGAAAGGCGACCACAATCAATTCCAGTGTGCAATCTGGTAAGTTGAATAGTTTCATAGAAACTAAATTATCAGTCGTGTGTACTCTACTCTACGACCAACTGGAGCCTTAGGTATATTGACACTTTGCATCTTTGTTACACCACGGCTTCTACTTCTTGCAAATGCGAACGCAGTTTGAATCCAGTTCATCGATTCGAAATAAAATATCACCTTGTCCACCAACAGAATGCATAATTAGGCTTAGCGAAAACGATGACACTTTGCAATGTAAACGTTCTGTTTAATATTCAGTGCATATGGTGATAATCAGATTCGACTAGGTAAGCTACTACTACTACTAACAGCTCCAATACACAGTTCCTTCATAGTAAACATTGCAAACGTTCAGTAAGAACTCACAACACTCAGTCATTAACTACTTCACTTTCATACACTAAACTGGTACAACTGACTACATTACGACTAGGGAGCGCGTACTTTAGGGAACAATGGTTAGGAGTTAACAACTTCAATTATATTCAAAATCTAGTTCACACACAGGTTGGAAGACGACTCAGAGAGATCAAACAAACATGCGACATCACTCTGTGAACTTTTGTCCTTGATAAGTGGAAACCTACAATTTACCTAGTTTTGAGAGGTTTCGAAAAGGTTTTCACATAATTGTCACAAAATTATTCCTATCTCATCTATCAATAATCGTTATCACATCGAGCCAATTTCACAGTCACAACTTCTCCTGATAACAGTCTATTATATAGTAAAGTACCAAATTATTGTTTTACATTTTTTCCTATTTAAAAAAACTAAATATAGATTTTACCAAACCATACGATTTCGAAATGGCAAATGCTGAACTGGCAGCAGAGTTGGCCAAAATAAATCTCAATCCAGATAACGATCCACCAGTAAGTCGAGAACACTCGACAGCAAACAAGACTGCAACCACTCTTGTTGTTGGTAAAGTTATTAGTGAACGACCAATAACGTCCACAACAACCAATGATGCTTCAAGACTATCAACCAGTGTCAATAGTCCATCATCTGGAGATTCACCTACAGGAGCAGTCAGTTCCACAACACTCAACAACATGAACGAACACATCACTGAAAATAAGAGTTCATCTCATCACAGTAACGCAACGCAATCTAAGTGAGTTTATTTTTTGTTATCACTGAAATATACAAGTAAGCACAATACCCATGATATCTTTACATACCTAATATCGAAAATTAAAACTATCTCAAATAGATAAGCTACTGACAACTACTTCATAACTTATAGATGAAGGTATGCACTGCATAAACTGGTAAAGAGGTCTCTGATTGCAACAATACATCAACACACACTTATTATAACACACAAAGCTACTACTCAAAACACAGTCGTTATGATTCATATGTAATTCTAGTTTTTTGTGTAGGCGTTCCTTTCTCTGAACAAACCTAATCATGGATTCCTTACTAAATCAGACACATTTTCACACTACTCATCTCTACGTATCCATTGATGTTGATTTTATCATCAGAAAATATTTCTTCAATTTCAGAGATGAATACTGTGCACGAGAGAAGTGCTTCTACGATCAGATCAGTAGACCAGAAGCAAGACCAAGGCAAGCAGCCACAGGCACTTACGACATTCACAATGAACGAAGCAAATATAAGAAATCATCGAAACGCCATTATGTGATTGGTTCACCAAGTAGAAGAGAACGTCAACTGAATCATGAAACTTTCGGTTCAATGGCAGCTAGAAAATCGTGTTGGCGTCGTCGTAAAAGTTCCAGTGTTCCTCGTCACCTATTGGTTTCTGCAACAGCCTGACAGTACTGTGCTCAATAGGACAAAACTAATAATATCAACATCTCTATTCCAGTTTTTCAACATAGTCGATTGGCAGTTTGATAGGATTATGTGTGAACAACAATGTGTTACATAATTGCATTTGCGTGACTGTGATTTACATTTATTAACTTTAACTGTTGAAGTCATAAATTTTTCCTGTGTTGCTTCAAATAAATAAACAGATGTGGTATCGAAACTGAATAAAATGCTTGTCGACTTCTTAATCATTAGTAGAATACTGTATGCTAACAGCTTGCACGAGTAGAAACGTAGTAGCGTAATCACAGCAAAAATGCTCTTTTATCATTCGAGTAAGCTTGTACACAAACAACCGATTTCACGAATAAGTGGGTGATCAGCTCATTTGCGATCTGTCAAACTCGGTAACTAAACTAATAATTTACGAGAATAGACGAATCCGTTCAGTCCCAATCGAAGCGAAATGTAATTAGTTAGGAACCTATATAATGAACGAACAAGACAAGCCGTAGGGACCTTCAGTCAATGTCTGTAAAACTACAGTTGTAGCAGACAGGACTTTGTTTTGTGTTGTAATCTTAGGTGACACGTTACATTACAATGAAAACTGTCGTATTCGATCTCCGTCGTATAAACAATAAGGCCACACTTATCTTGAATGATTATAACGAAACATTCAAATTACCGTATGAAAACTACAGCACTACATACTAAAATTAACTCCGCCAGTAGAACCTTCGGGGCTACTGCCGTTCCCAAGCCCGGATAAAGGAGAAGGGGTTGGACATGTGGTTGGCGACCGCATTCTGTCAAACAATAACTTGCCAAAAAAACGCTAATCAGAAAAAATAATTCAAACCATTTTATCTCTGCCCTGGGAGTTGGAAGAAGAATTATGACGTCGCGTGATGAAAGCCGAGTTCCCTCGGAAGTCACAGGGCCGATGCTTCTTCTGACAACCAGAGCAACCATTTTTTGGGTACATGGGACGTTCGTACATTGTGGGAGACTGAAAGACTATTTCCAGTTGCGGCAGAAATGAAAAGATACAACCTCGAGGTACTCGGCATCAGTGAAACACATTGGACACAGGTAGGACAACTGAGGTTAGCTTCACGAGAACTGCTGTTATACTCTGATCATGAAGAGGAAAATGCTTCACATACACAAGGAGTCGCACTGATGCTGTCCAAACATGCACAAAAGGCACTGATAGGATGGGAATCTCATGGACCCAGGATCATTAAAGCATCCTTCAAAACAAGGAAAGAAGAAATTACAATGAACGTCATTCAATGTTATGCACCTACCAATGGCTACAATGACGACGTTAAAGATCAATTCTACGAAAGGCTGCAGTCAATCGTCGAGAAACGTCCATCAAAGGATTTGACAATTGTGATGGGAGACCTCAATGCCAAGGTTGGAATGGACAACACTGGAAATGAAGACATCATGGGACGACATGGACTGGGATAAAGGAACGAAAGTGGTGAAAGATTTGCATACCTATGTGCCTTGAACAAACTGGTCATCGGCGGCACAATATTCCCACACAAACACATACACAAAGCAACATGGATTTCACCGGATCACACTACTCAAAACCAAATTGACCATATCTGTTCAGAAGGACTATGGAGGATGTGAGAACCAGGAGAGGAGCTGACATAGCCTCAGATCACCACTTGCTGGTCGCTAAAATGAAACTGAAACCAAAAAAACACTGGAAAACAGTGCAGACAACATCACACAAGTTTAAAACAGCCTTCCTTCGGGATACCGTAAAACTCAACGAATTCAAGATAGCCCTCACCAATAAGGTTCCAGGCCTTGAACGATATGCTCAATGGAGAGGACGCAACATTGGAGAACAGTTGGAAAGGGATTAAGGAGGAAGTCACTTCGAAGTACCATTACAAGGAATGGATCTCTGTTGATACTCTTGCAAAAATTGAAGAAAGGAGGAACAAGAAGACAGCAATCAATGTCAGCCGAACAAGGGCAGAAAAAGTTACCGCACAAGCTGCAGACACAGAAGCAAACAAGGAAGTGAAGAAGAGCATGAGAGCTGACAAACGAAAATATGTGAAAGATCTAGCAATGAAGGCGGAAAAGTTTGCAAGAGACGAAAACTTGAGACAATTGTACGATTTAACAAAGAAACCAGAACGACGAGTGAAAAGCAGGAAAGGCAAAGTAATCAGCATCACTGAAGAACAGCGAAATAGGTGGGTAGAGCACTATAAGAAACTCCTGAATCGGCCAGCTCCACTCAACCCACTCAAATTCGAAGCAGCATCCATGGACCTTCCAATTAATATTGGCGCACTTACAATTGAGGAGATCAGTATGGCCATCAGACAAATCAAGAGCGGCAAAGCAGCAGGACCAGACAACATTCCAGCAGAGGCAATGAAAGCAGATGTAGAAGCAACTGCGAAAATATTTCACATTCTCTTCAAGAAAATTTAGGATGAGGAACAAGTACCATCAGCTCGGTAAGGAGAAGGATACCTGATCAAAATACCAAAGAAAGGCGATCTCAGAAAGTGTGAGAACTACAGAGGCATCACTCTTCTCTCAATACCAGGCAAAGTCTTCAACAGGGTGTTATTAAACAGAACGAAGGACTTCGTAGACGTCCAACTTCGAGATTAACATGCCGGATTTCGTAAGGTGCAATCATGTACTGATCAAATCGCTACATTACTAATCATTGTGGAATAATCAATTGAATGGAACTCACCACTCTACATCAACATCATCGACTACGAGAAAGTATTCGATAGTTTGGATAGGAGGCTTCTTCGACACTACGGTGTGCCTGAGAAAATAGTTAACATCATACGGACTTCTTATGATAGATTCAACTGCAAAATCGTGCACAGAGGACAGCCAACAGACTCTTTCGAAGTGAAGACCGGTGTCAGACAAGGTTGTTTACTCTCACCCTTTCTCTTTCTCCTGGTCATCGACTGGATTATGAAGACGTCGAAATCTGGAGGGAAGCACGGTATTCAATGGACAGCTAGAACGCAGCTGGACGATCTGGACTTCTCAGATAATCTGGCTCTTCTATCTCAGACGCAGCAGCAAATGCAAGAGAATACGACCAGTGTAGCAGCAGCCTCTGCAGCAGAAGGTCTCAACATTCACAAAGGAAAAAGCAAAGTTCTCCGATGCAACACAACATTCATCAATCAAATCACTCTTGATGGAGATGCCTTGGAGGACGTTAACACCCTTACATATCTGGACAGCATCATCGACAATCAAAGTGGATCCGATGCAGATGTGACGGTGCGGACTGGCAAAGCAAGGACTGCATTTCTACAGTTGACAAACAACTTTCAACCGAAACCGAAATCAGGATTTTCAATACAAATGTCAACACAGTTCTACTGTATGGAGCGGAAACTTGGAGAACTAACTACTTAAGCCATCATTCAGAAGATACAAGTGTTTATTAACAGCTGTCTATGCAAAATACTTCGGATTCGTTGGCAAGACACCATCAGCAACAACGAACTATGGGAGAGAACAACCCAGATTCCGATGAAGGAGGAATTCAGGAAGAAGCGGTGGAAGTGGTGGATAGGACACACACTACGTAAAGCACCTAACTGCATCACGAGACAAGCACTCACTCGGAACCCTCAAAGCAAAAGGGAAAGAGGAAGGCCAAGGAGCACATTACGCCGAGAAATAGAGGAAGATATGAGAAGAATGCACAAACATTGGACAGAACTGGAAAGGGAAGACCAGGACAGAGTTGGTTCGAGAAAACTGGTGGGCGGCCTATATCTCCATTGGGGGTAACAGGCGTAAGTAAGTAAGTAAGTAAGTAAGTAATATCAGTATTTTATTGTGGTTTTGTTATTTTATTCCGAATCAGAATGTCGTCCGTTCAAACCATGTCGGACTCATCACATTTGTAGTGGAGACGTAAAATTATCTCATCAAATTGTAACAGATGTTAATACACCTAATTTAGAATACGAGAATAGTAAACCATATTAAACAGTAAAGTAAAAAAAACTTCTTCTGAGACAACTACACCGACTAGTGTTCAGTCGTCAGTTAGCCAATCCTCTTCTACACAGTAAACACAAACGGCATGAAAATAAAGAAATCAATTCTTCAGCAGAGATCTTAGACTAACAGTCTGAATCACAACAGACCATATCCAATAAGACACGAAATTCAATGTCTAAGATAGATTATATTTGAACAGAAGAAGTAACATAATTCATTAATTGTAACGGTTTAAAGCCCTCGTATCACAATCCCTCCTGGTTTCACTTTTCAGATTCTGTGAACCTATAGCTTGAGCGATCATTAATTTTTCCTCACTACTATACTTATTTAAAAAAACATTTTATGTTCTAGGTTGGTTGTTCGACACACCTATTCATTTTATGTTTTTGTCTTGCCCACTTCATTCCCACTCAATCTATGATGGATACTACCACTACCACTAGTCTACACAAAAGACCCTCTGACTAGATGCGAGCTGTGTTACAGTAACAACTAGTCAATTATTATCGTTATTTTCCGTGTACAATCGACCCCAATACATAATTACTATTCAATATAAACATGATTTTTTGGGGCAGAGTTTTGGAGGTTTGTGTTTTTACACATTTGAAATCATCAATCAATCAATCATTGTTAGACCACCATTAGAAACCTGGAAGCACTGGATGGCCGTTTCGTCCTGCGATGGGACTCATCGGTATCAGTGCGCATCCACGACTCCTGCTGCTCGCAGGATTCGAACCCTGGACCTTAGGTATTGTGCGCGAACGCCTAATCATTAGACCACTAGGCCAGCATACAACGGTGTTGATGTCTAACTCTGATTGATCTAGGTATTTTGCGCGACCTCACCCATTTGTCTTTGGTAGTTACTGCCTACTACACCCGATAGGGCTGAACTCCATTGGTCACGTCTTCTCAACTAGAACTCCGAGAATTTCCTCACGAAGCTAGTCACTAGTGTGCACTGTTACGATATTTTGGGGAAAAGTTATGGAGGTTTGTATTTTTACACATTTGAAATCATCATTGATGAGTCCCATGCAAGGACGAAACGGCCGTCCAGTGCTTTCAGGTTTTAAATGATGGTCTAACAATGATTGATTGATGATTTCAAATAAACATGATTATGCACAAACCGGTACGGAGTAAGAAATCACATCCGTTATACACATCATATAGCTTTGAATTCTCTCGGATCAAATGTTGCACCCTACACAAAGAAGTACTTCAATTGAATGAACTACAAATAAGGATCATTGTGGATGAGCTAATCGAATATTGGTAGTATTATAACAGCAGTGTTTGATTCTACCAGTGCAAACATATAAACATATTTTCCTGATTCAAGTTATATTTACTAAGATTTGGACTTTAGAAATCACATATCTAAAATAGTAGATTGTATTATAGAGTTCCGTTGATTTAATATTAAACAGTGTAAACACTTCACAATGCATCAACGGAATCAAATGAAACATATACTTTTCTCATGATATTTTCCTAAACTAGAAAACCACTTTAAGTAACGGACAAATTTCAGCCTATACAGGTAGAGCTATTGTGGTGCGAGCTACTTATAAGTAGTATATGATGTGAGTGTCAACGTAATGTGTGGCAGCAGAAGATGGGGGAAGATCAAGAGAGGAAGAGTTAGAACACAATGGAATTTGTATGAAATGCATGAATAGTGACAATGGATTGATGTTTTGCAACAGGAACAGTCCAGTTCGAGATGATGGACTGATATTTTGCAAATGAACGATTTACGATATGGTTTTCCTATTTTACTGAGTAACTCTGTAATTCTCGTTAAATACAATTCGGTGGCCTGACCTGTGTTCTCGTTCACTACACTATAATTTCGAATAACTACAGAAAGTAATCTGAGCACTTCAAGTAGTGAACAGCGTTCAAATCCGCTACCTAGTTGTGAGTAGTTGTATGATCTTTAACTAACTACAAAGTTGAAATTGACTTAACGCATTATTGGTAGAAACGTGTGAGAGTTTTTTACCAGTTCTTGTAAATTCCGTAAATCATGAATTTGTCACGAAATTATACGACGTGAGATTGAGATAATCTCACATGATATTGTGTAGCGAAACATTTTCTAGTTTTTATAAACGGATAAATGAAATGACATTTAATATAGGATTGATTTGTGAGTTCATAAAATGCTCATTAGCTTATCTGTGGTGCGCGCTACTTATAAGTAGTATATGACGCGAGTGTAAACGTAATGTCTGGCAGCAGAAGATGGGGGAAGATCAAGAAAGTAAGAAGAGTGGGAACACAATGGAATTTGTATGAAACGCATGAATAGTGAGTGAAATGTCAGACAATAGATTGATGATGGATTGAAGATTTGCAAATTAACAACTGTTTACGATATGGTTTTCCTATTTTACTGAGTAACTCTGTAATTTTCGTTAAATACAATTCGGTTGCCCTCACCTGTGTTCTCCTTCACTACAATCAACCGAACTGGGAATTTCTAACACTCAATCTTTCGATTACTGATAATCGGAAATAGACAAATGGAATTGTAGTCACTAATTGTATTCTCTCATCAAATGCACTGATTATCATTTCGACGTGTTCGTATTTGATGCTGTTGACTGTTTCTACAAGCTGAAAATTTGTGTTTGCATTTTCAATGACGACGCCTATATCCTATTGTACCTAAGTGGACGCTTGAGGAAGAATCCGTTTACCAGCGAAAATTGACAGAATTAATCACTTACGACTTCAACATAAGGTTCATATTCAATGAGAAAAAGAGATGTGTTGAATTATGGATAGGTGTAGATTGGTCGTCATGTTGCATCGATCAGAATACGGTCGTGATTGGTAACTCTTGGTTTTACTATGTAGTGCTGTAGTTTTCATGCGGAAATTCGAATATTTCAGACTAATAATTGAAGATAAGTGTGACCATAGTGTATATTTGTGAGAGATCGGAATCCAGCAGCGTTTATTCCTATGGAACTGAACGGTTTCGTTTAGTTCCGTCAATTATTAGTTTAATTACCGAGTTTGACAAATCACAAATGAGCTGATCACCCACTTAATCGTGAAATCGACTGTTTGTGTACAAGCCTACTCGAATGATGATAGAAGAGCATTTTTGCTGTGATTACGCTACTACGTTTCTACTCGTGCAAGCTGTTAGCACACAATATTCTACTAAGGATTAAGAAATCGACAAGCATTTTATTCAGTTTCGACACAAGATCTGTTTATTTATTTGAAGCAACACAGGAAATATTATGACTTTAATAGTTAAAATTAATAAATGTAAATCACAGTCACGCAAAATGCAATTATGTAACACATTGTTGTTCACACATAATAATCCTTCCTATCAAATAGCCAATCGACTACGTTGAAGTACTGGAATAAAAAATTTTCGTATTATTAGCTTTATCCAGTTGAGTGCTGTTTTTTTAGGCTGATGTAGAAACCAATAAGCCACCAGCGGGACTAACACTTTTTCAATGAACGCAACAATACTTTCTAACTGCATAGGATTGAAAGTAGTATCCTGCTGATTCAGTAAACGTTCTCTTTTACTTGATGAAGTAGTAGTAAAGTTGACAGGAAACGTTGTAGCACCTAGTTTGGCTTCTCGTTCAAGTGTTGCTGTACCAGTAACATGATGATGTTTCGATGATTTCTTATATTTGCTTCGTTCATTGTGAACGTTGTAATTGCCTGTGGCTGCTTGCCTTGGTCTTGCTTCTGGTCTACTGATCTGATCGTAAAAGCACTTTTCTCGTGCACAGTATTCACCTCTGAAATGGAAGAAATATTTTCTGATGATAAAATCAACATCAGTGGATGCCTAGAGGTGTGAAGTGTGAAAATGTGTCTGATTTAGTAAGGGATTCATGATTAGGTTTGTTAAGAGAAAGGAACTCCTACACAAATAACTAGGTATACATAAGAATCATAACGACTGTGTGTTTTGAGTAGTAGCTGTGTGTGTTGATGTAATGACCAGTAGTTACGTAAATGTGAAACTAGTTGTTCGGTGAATATAATTAGTTACATTTACAGCATAGTGCAGAATCTGTGACATCTAGTATCTTTGGAGGTGCTAGTTCTGTCTGGTCCACAGTGTTTGATTATCACTGTACTGTTGTATGTAGTGCATGTTTCTGTGTTTACAAATTACTACTTGTAAACATTACTGATGGTGATAGTGAAAATTGACAGTTGTACTGTAATGTATAATTCTAACCACGTGGATTGTAAGTAGAGTTTATGATTGGATCAAATAAATAACGCGGTGGTTTATCGTTGATCTGATTACCTCGCTGTCTGTAGGTCATGAAATAGTTACCAGTAGCTTATCTGTTAGAGATAGTTTTAATTTTCGGTATTATGCCTGTAGACACTTCGGGCTACTGCCGGTCCCAAGCCCGGATAAAGGAGAAGGGGTTGGACATGCTGTTGGTGACCCCATCTTAACTAAAACTAACTTTCCAAAAAAACGCTAACCAGAAAAAATAATTCAAACCATTTTATCTCTGCCCTGGGAGTTGGAAGAAGAATTAGGACGTCGCGGGATGAAAGCCGAGTTCCCTCGGAATTCACGGGGCCGATGCCTCTTCTGACAACCAGAGCAACCATTCTCTTTGGTACATGGGACGTTCGTACATTGTGGGAGACTATTTCAATCAGCGGCAGAAATGAAAAGATACAACCTTGAGGTGCTTGACATCAGCGAAACACACTGGACAACTGAGACTAGCTTCAGAGGAACTGCTGTTATACTCTGGTCATGAAGAGGAAAACGCTTCACATACACAACGAGTTGCACTGATGCTGTCCAAACAAGCAAAAAAGGCACTGGCACTGATAGGATGGGAATCTCATGGACCCAGGATGATGAAACTATCCTTCAAAACAAGGAAAGAAGAAATTACAATGAACGTCATCCAATGCTATGCACCTACCAATGACTACAATGACGACGTTAAAGATCAATTCTACGAAAGGCTGCAATCAATCGTCGAGAAACGTCCATCAAAGGATTTGACAATTGTGATGGGAGACCTCAATGCCAAGGTTGGAATGGACAACGCTGTATACGAAGACATCATGGGACGACATGGACTGGGAGAAAGGAACGAAAATGGTGAGATTTGTAAACCTATGTGTCTTCAACAAACTGTTCATCGGCGGCACAATATTCTCGCGCAAACGCATTCACAAAGCCACATAGATTTCACCGGACCACACTACTCAAAACCAAATTGACCATATCTGTATCAACAAAAAGTTCAGAAGGACCATGGAGGATGTGAGAACCAGGAGAGGAGCTGACATAGCCTCAGATCACCACTTGCTGGTCGCTAAAATGAAACTGAAACCAAAAAAACACTGGAAAACGGTGCAGACAACATCACACAAGTTTAAAACAGCCTTCCTTCGGGATACCGTAAAACTCAACGAATTCAAGATAGCCCTCACCAATAAGGTTCCAGGCCTTGCACGATATGCTCAATGGAGAGGACGCAACATTGGAGAACAATTGGAAAGGGATCAAGGAGGCAATCACTTCAACATGTCACGAAGTTGTGGGTCACAAGAAGTACCATCACAAGGATTGGATCTCTGTTGGTACTCTTGGAAATAGTGAAGAAAGGAGGAACAAGAAGGCAGCAATCAATGTCAGCCGAACAAGAGCCGAACAAGGCACAAGCTGCAGACACAGAAACAAACAGGGAAGTGAAGAAGAGCATGAGAGCTGACAAACGAAAATATGTGAAAGATCTAGCAATGAAGGCGGAAAAGTTTGCAAGAGACGAAAACTTGAGACAATTGTACGATTTAACAAAGAAACCAGAACGACGAGTGAAAAGCAGGAAAGGCAAAGTAATCAGCATCACTGAAGAACAGCGAAATAGGTGGGTAGAGCACTATAAGAAACTCCTGAATCGGCCAGCTCCACTCAACCCACTCAAATTCGAAGCAGCATCCATGGACCTTCCAATTAATATTGGCGCACTTACAATTGAGGAGATCAGTATGGCCATCAGACAAATCAAGAGCGGCAAAGCAGCAGGACCAGACAACATTCCAGCAGAGGCAATGAAAGCAGATGTAGAAGCAACTGCGAAAATATTTCACATTCTCTTCAAGAAAATTTAGGATGAGGAACAAGTACCATCAGCTCGGTAAGGAGAAGGATACCTGATCAAAATACCAAAGAAAGGCGATCTCAGAAAGTGTGAGAACTACAGAGGCATCACTCTTCTCTCAATACCAGGCAAAGTCTTCAACAGGGTGTTATTAAACAGAACGAAGGACTTCGTAGACGTCCAACTTCGAGATTAACATGCCGGATTTCGTAAGGTGCAATCATGTACTGATCAAATCGCTACATTACTAATCATTGTGGAATAATCAATTGAATGGAACTCACCACTCTACATCAACATCATCGACTACGAGAAAGTATTCGATAGTTTGGATAGGAGGCTTCTTCGACACTACGGTGTGCCTGAGAAAATAGTTAACATCATACGGACTTCTTATGATAGATTCAACTGCAAAATCGTGCACAGAGGACAGCCAACAGACTCTTTCGAGGTGAAGATCGGTGTCAGACAAGGTTGTTTACTCTCACCCTTTCTCTTTCTCCTGGTGCTCGACTGTATTATGAAGACGTCAGCTTCTGGAGGGAGGCACGGTATTCAGTGGACAGCTAGAACGCAGCTGGACGATCTGGACTTCGCAGATGATTTGGCTCTTCTATCTCACACGCAACAAAAAGTGCAAGAGAAGACGACCAGTGTAGCAGCAGCCTCTGCAGCAGTAGGTCTCAACATACATAAAGGAAAAAGCAAAATTCTCCGATGCAACACAACATGCACCAACCAAATCACTCTTGCTGGAGATTCCTTGGAGGACGTTAACACCCTTACGTATCTGGACAGCATCATCGACAATCAAGGCGGATCCGATGCAGATGTGAGGGCAAGGGTCGGCAAAGCAAGGGCTGCATTTCTACAGTTGAAAAATATCTGGAACTCCAAACAAATATCAACCAAAACCGAAATCAGGATTTTCAATACAAATGTCAAGACAGTTCTACTGTATGGAGCGGAAACTTGGAGAACTACGAAAGGCATCATCCAGAAGATACAAGTGTTTATTAACAGTTGTCTACGCAGAATACTTCTGATTCGTTGGCCAGACGTCATCTGCAACAACCTACTGTGGGAGAACAAACATCAGACGAGGAAATGAGGAAGAAGCGGTGGAAGTGGGTAGGACACAGACTACGAAAAACACCTAACTGCATCACGAGGCGAGCACTCACATGGAACCCTCAAAGCAAAAGAGAAAGAGGAGAGCCACGGAAGACATCACGCCGAGAAATAGAGAAATATATGAGAAGAATGAACAAAGATTGGACAGAACTGGAGAGGGAAGCCGAGGACAGAGTTGGTTGGAGAAAACTGGTGAGCGACATATATTCCATCGGGGGTAACAGGCGTAAGTAAGTAAGTAAGCAAAGATATGGGAATTGTAAATTTTTGTATATTTCAGTGATTGAACAAACTCACTTAGAAAGGGTTCCGTTACTGTGATGAGATGAACTATTATTTTCAGTGATGTTTCCGTTTATGTTGTTGAGAGTTGTGGAACTGACTGCTCCTGTAGGTGAATCTCCAGATGATGGACTATTGACACTGGTTGATAGTCTTGAAGCATCATTGGTTGTTGTGGACGTTATTGGTCGTTCACTAATAACTTTACCAACAAGAGTGGATGCAATCTTGTTTGCTGTCGAGTGTTCTCGACTTACTGGTGGATCGTTATCTGGATTGAGTTTTATTTTGGCCAACTCTGCTGCCAGTTCAGCATTTGCCATTTCGAAATCGTATGGTTTAGTGAGATCTATTTTTTGTTTCATTTAATAGGAAAAATGCAAAACAATTTGGTAGTTTACTATATAGATAGACTGTTATCAGGAAGAGTTGTGATTGTGAAATTGGCTCGGCGTGATGACAATAATTGATAGATGAGATGGGAATAATTTAGTGACAATTATGTAATCAAACGAACACTCAGCATTGTGAAAACCTTTTCTAAACCGCTCGAACGAGGTAATTTCTAGGTTCCTACATATCATGAACAAAAGTTCACAGAGTGATGTCGCATGTTTGTTTGATCTCTCTGAGTCGTCTTTCCACCAGTGTGTGGACTAGAGTTCGAAGATAAGTGAAGTTGTCAACTCTTTACCACTGGTTTCGAAAATCAACACTCGCCCTTATTTTATAAAAGGATTTGTTAATTAGAGTGATTGAGATGAACGCAACCCGAATGTACTAGTATTGTTGGTTGAAGTGACCGGAAAGATGTGCATCCTGCTGGTGTTCTAACCAAACAGATTCATGTAGAATTGGTAAATATTTTCATAGTTTGTTGAGTAACATGTGGATTCCAAGCATTCATGTTGTATCATTTTAAGGCGTGAAAACGAAGTAGTTAATGAATGAGTGTTGTGAGATCTTACTGAACGTTTGCAATATTTACTATGAAGGAACTGTGTATTGGAGCTGTTAGTAGTAGTGGCTTACCTAGCCGAATCTGATGATAACGATATAAACTGAGTTTTCTTCAAAAATTCACACTGGAGTATCATTGTTTTCGCTAAGCCTAATTGTGTATTTTGTAAGTGGACAAGGTGATATATCAGTCCGAACTGATGAATTAGATTCAAACAGTGTGTTCCATTTGCAAGAAGTAGAAGCCGTGGTGTAACAAAGTTGCAAAGTGTCAATATACCTAACGCTTCAGTCGGTCGTAGAGTACACACTACTGACAATTTAGTTTATATGAAACTATTCAACTTACCAGATTGCACACTGGAATTGATTGTGGTCGCCTTTCTTCTTTCGAACACACGACGTTTAGTCCGCCTGACCGGAGGAGCTACAAAGTTGAACGATCGTTGTTGAAATGTTGTTGGCACTTGAGGAGGTAAATAAATATACACTCCACCATATGGATTGACACTGCTGTTGTGAATATGGTGTGTGTAGTTGTTGTTTGGAATTCGCATATGTTGATTTTGTTTCTTGTTAGAATATCGTGTGTTGAAAGGATGAGCAGATTTGTTGTATAGATTTGGCGGATGTGTGACAATCGGGATGACGGGTATATAGTCTCTTTGATTCGGTATTGATAGGCCATTTCGACCTTTACGAGAGTATGTGACGAGTGTTGGTGGTTGTCGGATGGCACGTTGATTTGTTGAATTTCTGTGTGTATTCACAACTGACAAATCTGCATTGGTGTGTTTATTTCGAAATGAACTTTTTTTAATTGAGCCGTTGTGTTGTGTGGGAGCATAATACTACAGACGAGATTGAATGAAAATGCACAAAACATTGTTAATGTTACTTTGTAATATGTGGGTTGTTTTGTTTAGTTAAATCTGTTACAGAAGAGTCATTCAAGTTACTGCAGAAATGAAAAGGTGAAACCTAGTGGTATTTGAAATCAGTGGAACACATTGGATGCAAGTGTGACAAAAAAGGTTAGCTTAAGGAGACACTGTTATATTCCAGACATGAACAATATGAAACACATACACTAGGAGTAGCGCTGTTGCTATCCAAATAATCACAAATAGCACTTACAGAATGACAATCTCATGGATACAGGAGCACCGAAGGATATTTAGTGGGACACTTATGCGAAGAAAACTCAATTTTTGAAAAATAAACATTTAATATTGTACTCGTTCTGTTTAACTGTATTAAAAACACTTTCTCGCGCTCAATGTTCTTTTTGTGTTGCTGCCATTTTTCATAACTTGCTGCTCTCTATGTAATGCCTGATTTCTCCTTCAAATAAATATTGAAACATGGATTTATGTCAACAATTCTTGACTGGATAGTATGGAATATTTATTGGTGATCATAGTCAATTTTGACTTGGTCACCAGTAAACATCCTTCAAAAAGAAGAAGGAGAGGATTACAATCAACGTTATCCAGTTCTCTGTGCCCACCAACAGTGAGAATGAGGACGATAAAGATCAACTCTGCAGAGAGGCTGCAGTCAATCGTCAAGAAATACTCAGCTAAAGATTTGATCATTCTGATGGGAGACCTAAATGATAGACCTGCAGTGGCGAAATCGGAAATCAAGACATCATGGGATGACATAGACTGGGAAGAAGGAACGGAAACTGTGAGCGATTCGCAAATCCATTTGCCCTCAGCAAACTGGTTGTCAGTGATACCATACTGACATACAGACGAATACACAAAGCTACATGGATTTTATCGAATCACACTACACAGAAGCAAATCTACCATGTTTGCATCACGTCAAAGTTCAGGATCATGGAATACGTGAGAACAAAGAGAGGTGCTGAGATAGATTCAGATCATGTGTTGTTGATCGTCAAGATAAAGCTGAGACTGAAGAAGCACTGAATAGCAGGGCGAACAGCATCACAACATTTTAATATGGCTTTTCTTCGGGATATAGACAAACTGTTGCGCATGAACATAAGCATGTCATTTTGATATGCTTGAATTATTACTAGTTTACCTCGGTCGAAAAATGCGAGCTAGGTTCGAGGATCCGGCGACACGACATGCTACTATAATCCGAGTATCCCAACCCACATATTGAGTAAAAAGAAGAAGACATGATATGAAGTGGAACCTGTATTCTACAAGCATCCAGAAAGTACGAGGCCCGAGTCCAGAAGAGAATCAGGATCCCGAACTAGGAATCCGGGTGAGGGTCCTGGCCATAAAACGTTACAGATAATGCGTATTTACATAGTTAGGTTGAATCGAATAAACTACACTGAAGTCTTTGAAATTGACAGTTAAGACGACCAATAGGAAACAACGTTTGAAGTGAAACTGATATTCAGGACGACCAATAAGTAAAAACATTAGGACATGACATTGATATCTAGGATGACCATAAAATTGACCAGTAGAAATTAACCAATAGGAATTGACGAATAATTCTCTTAGGATATAAGATGAATATCCGAACACAAACCCAACGAATTTGAGATAACTCTCAGTAAAAAGTTCCAAGTCTTTCACAATCTACTCGATGAGGAGACAACCACCATAGAGAACAACTAGAAAGGATCAACAAAGCAATAAGTTTATATCATGAAGTTCTGGGACACAAGAAGCATCAGCACAAGGATTAAATCTCTGTGGATATTCTGAACAAGATTCAAGACTAACAGGACGGCAGTAACCAGATTAAGCCGAACAGGAGCAGAGAAAGCCGAGGCACAGTCTGAACACATAGAAGCAGACGAACAAGTAAAGAGGAGAATCAGAGATGACAAACATAAATATAAGAAAGATCTAGCCATGATAGCATGAAAAGCTGCAGAAAGTAAAAAATGAGACAGTTGTATGGTACAACAGAGATGCTTGATGGAAATAATCGTAAACCAGTGAAAAGCTAGGAAAGCAAAGAAATCATCGACATTAAAGAATAGAGAAACAGGTTGATCAAGCGCCTCAAGGAACTATGAAATCGACCAGCTTAAATGAAGCCACCCAATTAATGTTGGCCCATTAACAGATCGGATGATTACGATCATCAAACAAATAAAGAGCTATAAAACAGCGGGACTACATAACATTCCATAAGAAGCAGACATCACTGTAACTGAAAATGTACTCCACATTCTCTTCAGCAAGATTCCGGATGAAGAACAGGTACCAGCAGACAGGAAAGAAGGAAACCTAATCAAGACACCATGGAAAGGAGACCTCTAAGTGTGAGAACTAGTAACGAATCACTCTTCGCATAAAACCCAGTAAGTATCCAGAAGAGTATTGTTAAACAGAATGAAGGATTCCGTAGACGACAGACTTAAAGATCAACAGGCGAGATTGCCTAATGACCGATCATGCGCTGATCGCTGTAGATAAGTAAATTGAGTGGAACTCACAACTATACATCAACTTCATTGACACTATTTATGTATGTTGAAACCTTTACATATCTAGGCAGCATCACTGATTAGCAGAGTGAATGTGATGCAGATAAAAAGGCTCAGATTGGCAAAACAAGGGCAACATTTCTACAACTGAAGAACACTCAGAACTCAAAACAACCATCAACAAACACCAAAGTCACAGTTTTCAAAACAAATGTCAAGACAGTTTTATTGTATGTTGTGGAAACATGGAGAACCACAGAAGCAATCATCCGGAAGATACAAGTATTCGTTAACAGTTGTCTGTGCAAAGTACTTTGGATTTGTTTGCCAGACAACCACCGACATTTTGTTTGCTTTCGGCTCTTTAGATTGATGAGACGACTAATCAGTAACACTGAGGTTGCTCTTATACGCTTGCTACTTCTGTGGTTCATGTTTCCAAAACTATGCTGAGGTCGCTATTCTGTCGAGACACCTGCAACATTCTTACTCAGGCGCTTACAGTATGACTTAGAGGTTGGCATTCAATAATAAAGAAAAAAAAACAGTTAGACAGTGCGAGATTTTATTCGTCAAATATTTATTTTTACAAACTCTACTCTTTTAACTAGAATTTCGATTTCAACGTACATAAATCCAGCTTCTTACTTCGACTTCTCTTCTATCCACCTGACACTGCACAACTCTCCCTTCTTTTTGCTGTACTCCTTTATTTGTGCGTTATATTCTTATATTCCCATAATTTACTTTAATTTAAGTGGTCAGTATGAATGTTATCTTGACTTACTACTGTATTGACTACTTTAACATGACAGGTTAAGTAGTGCTTTGGTTATATATATACACTTGCTACACTGCTGCCTTTTTCTCTCTCTTCTCCTTTTCAGAACCCCATTCACGGTGGGAAATCCTTGGCAACTCTAGGGAACATGCACCCAATATACATGACTGTCTGGATCACAGCTCGTATCAAGCGCGTTCCATATGACCTTTCCCAACAAATTCACTATTGATCTCGGCCAATCGCCAATAGAACCTATTGTGCACCTTCCTCATTTGTACTCTAATATTGAAAATGTGGCTGTATAATACTGTTTCTGTCAGTGATATGGTGTAAATATGCAATCAGAAACTGTCTCTTATACTTAATTTAACTGCTATAACTTTTACAGTAATTGTAAAAGCATTTGTGACAATTTGATCTAGCCTGTAAACTGGCGTGACTCTTGTAACTTAGTTATGTGAGAATAAATTATTATTATTATTATTATTATTATTATTACTGTGGGATAGAATAAACCAGGTTCCAGCCGAGGGATAAATTAGGAAAAAGAGTTGTAAGTGGATAGAAGACATTGGAGTTCTCATGGCCAAATGAAAAGTGGGAGAACAAAGAACATAATACGCTGAGAAATGGAGATAGACATAAGAAGAATGAAGGACAGTTGGATAGAATTAGAAAGGAAGGTCAAGGACAGAGTAGGTTGGGTAATGCTGGTCGGCAGCATATTTTAAAAAGCGTAGCAGACGTAAATAATAAGTTTAAGAACTAGGAATGAAAGGTATGGAAAAAGAATTATGTCACAGATCATTCTAATACTGACTGTCTTGCGACTTGTCCGAATTGCTCTTCAAATAATACAGATCATATTCATTGGAGGAGGTGATGTATACAAGTGTGTTTAGTTTACAACAACTATTCCAGTGGTTCTGAGTAGGCGACTTTGCTTATTTACCCTTCCACTTGAAATTGTTATGCTCTACATCAATATTTTCATCAAGATGATTACGCCACACATTAACAACACTGTGAGGATGTTAGGTAGATAACTTAATGCCTAACGTCAATCTTTATTCAGATATATGATTATTCATAGCGCTACTCTTCAGAGATTGCATGCAAAGTGACAACCAAAATGCTACCCGATTAGCTTGTACTTTGTCATGACAATTTAGTGTTGCAGTCAGTCTGTACGAAGCAATAACTACAGACTAAAGTTTGTCAGCGTTGCTCCGCAACGAAGTAGAAGTCTACACATTCAAATGCGTGCCACCTATCAGTGCTGCTATATTTGGATTCGACTATTTTTAGTTAGTATTATTATGAGTCTCCGAGTAAACTTACTAATACAATTCACATTCAATTTAGTTAAAAACGATGGCTTACCCAAGTAGTCTGTCGTCTTCGTCTCTTTCGACGACTGTCATCTAATGCAGCTGTTTTGACCACAGCTTTATCATGCGATTCATTTCGAAGTGACTTTTTATCATCCAATGGCCACATTTGATAAATATTAGATTTTCTAAATGCGATTGCATCAAAAACTGTTCCAACTATGGACGCTTTATTTCCAATAGTATATGTACCGTCAGGAGGTTTCCGATTTTCAATACCATGAAAATGTACATTTTGCAAAGTCAACACACCTTCAATTAGATTGATGCCTGCAATTATTCCTTCATATCGATATTGTGCCTTAGTGATAATTGATAATCGTCTTCCCAATGAAAGATAGTTTAGTTGGATGTCGTTTCCGGTCATTGTTTATGTGGTAACTGCTCTACATAAACATATCCGCTTCAACATGTATTGTGAATTTGTCTGATAAGAAAGGTTAAATGTCGACAATTTAATTCAACAGGATACAGTTTGAATATAATTTGAATCAATCAAGAGTAATCGATGAGACACAGTCAGTCTGATTCGATTGACCGGTCGGTCGATCGATCGATCGATCTATTTATCTATCGATCTTTCTATCTATCAAGTGATTATATCTCTAGTAAATGAATGAAATGATGTGAGATACTGTGAGTGAGTATCATTCTCAATGTAAGATAATTGTTAAGACGACGGATGATGAAAATTACTTCGTACGAAGTGATTGCTGAGAATTTGTTGAAAATGAGTGATTTTACGAGATGAAATCTCGTTTGTATATGGTAGCAGAAGAAATAACTGATAGTTCGAACGTTTTCCCGAGGCATTCAAAAAATCATATATTTCTTGATGCTCTGTACCTTTTCCCAATTTTCTTGCACGTTTCTTTATTCCTTCAATACCACGAAATCCCCAATAAATACACTTTTGTCATTAGGATGTGTCCTGTTTCTTTGACCTACCTTCAGCATTCCCGCATCTCAACACCATTCTTATTTCATGATGAGATCCTGTAGAGGGACGACAGTTTGGAGCTTCAGAGCCTGCTGTGAGATTTACTGACTTTCCTTCGATCTTGTAAGTACATCTAGTAGGTTTATAAATAAATCGAGTGCAGAATAAGTGCTCTTGATTATATAACTGTTATAGCTCATTGAACAGTGTAGTTAAACACTACTGTATATTTTTCAGGCTTCCTTGAATAAACAACAAATTGATGAGGACAACGAATTTCGACTCCTGTGTAATCATGCCAGAACATTTTATTCAAAGTATCACAGAACAACAGAACTAGTATTTGTTATTACAATCGCAACGCCCCAGAATGGTGGACAGCCATAAAATTTCCTATAATATAATAGACTGCGAGGTGCAGATTTCTTCGCGCTCGATTCTTGTTCTTTCGGTACGGTTCCAGGTGTTTTCGGTAATGTCCAGTGGATGGAGGTCTAGCCACTCGACTGTCTAATTCTAGTCAGTTGGCAGTTAGTGGTGAGTTTGTATGTCTCGGGATTTGGTGTACGCCATAATCAGGTCACCTCTGATTCTCCTGTAGCTTAGTGGGAATAATCCCAAGAGTTGGAGTCTATCGTCGTAGGGTTTATTTTTCAACCCCATCACCCATTTCGTTGCTCGTCACTGCGCTCGATCCAAGAGATTAATGTCTCTTTTAAGCAGAGGGGCTGCGGTGACGTTGTGAACCTCCAAGTGTGGGCGCGCGTACGTCTTAAAGAGGGTTAAAAATAATTTCGGGGTGATAGCACCAAGCTGTCTTCGCATAAAGTGAAGAGTCGCATTTGCCTTGGCTGCATCCCCTACATAGTTCGGACTCGTGTGTAAGCTTTCTGTGGTTATTAAACCAAGATCACGCTCTGAGGAGACATTAGGGAGCGGACTTCCATTGAGAGTGTAGGTCGTTTGCGTCATATGAGGCAGGAAATGCATGACGTGGCACTTCGGTTGGTTGAGTTTTAAACCGTTTTTCACTGCCCATTTCTCAATAGATGTAAGGTCCTTTTGAAGCTTAGTCGAGTCCTCTTCGCTGCTAATGGACATCCAGATATTCGCGTCGTCTGCGTAACTCAACGCAGGTGAGCTAACTAAGCCTAGCAGGTCGTTAATAAATATCAAGTAGAGGAGTGGGCCTAGGATGGTCCCCTTTGAAACTCCTGAAGTGGATACTCTCCAACTCGCATGCACCCTGTTTACCTTGGTGCGAAACTTTCTATTCTCCAGGTAGTTTCTGAGCCAAGATACAAGTGGGTCAGTGAAGCCCATTTCCACAACCTTTTCGATTAGACGTGCGTGGGGCACTGTGTCAAAGGCTTTTGCGAAGTGGGGAAATACTACGTGCACTGGTATTTTACGGTCCAAGCAGGATGTCCAACTGTCCCATGCAATGAGAAGATTAGATGCACACGACCTGCCTTTCCGAAACCTGTGTTGAGCTTCATGGAGTATTTTATTCTTATCCATTTACTCCCTTATTTGTTCGTCCACTAGTCCTTCCATAACCTTTGATAGTAGTAGTAGTGCGACTGGACTGTAACAGGCTGGGTCCTTTCTATCTCCTCCTTTGAAGATTGGGGAGAGAGTAGCTTGTTTCCATTCCGCTGGTAATTAGTGTGACTCCAGTGAATGCCTGAACAGGTTGCATAACGGTGAACAGAGGGCTTCAGCGCACTGTTGCAAGACTATAGTGTGGATTTTGTCACAACCTGGTGACTTACCTTGGCTCAGTTCATTTGTGGATTTGTAGCATGTCTTCGTTTGGCCATCTCTAGATTTCTACACCTACATCAGACAACACTTCCCTTCGAGGTAGGCGGTGGTTGGGAATAAGTCACATATTGTACAACCACCTCAACTGATGAATATTTACTACTTCATCAGTTGGTTTTACATCCTTACGTAGTAACTTTTTCTCAAACCTTATATTTCTTACTTGATGGTCCCAGGATATAAGAACAATACTTTGAAGTCACTTGTGGATATCCTCTATTTTTAGTTTGCCGTGTTTTACACCAGCGAATTAGGGTGGAGCGAAATGACACGCGATGAACCCATCCTTTGGTTAATTAGTTAGGAGATGGATATCTCGCCTGCGTAACAAGTGATGCACCTTGGCGAAAGCCCATCGAGCCTTCTAAATCCATGCTGACATTTCGTCACACACCAGGCCATCAGCACTGATGAGACTCACGAGATTAGTTTAGCGGTCAGCACACTCGACAACAACCGCTGTCACTAGCCTTGGGGCCGATGAAAGCCAATCTTAGGGAAAATTTTGCATTCATAGGGGGAGAATCGCATCTCAAACATGTTTGCATGGCTTCTCAAGGTGGTCATGAAGCTTTGAGTTTTTTCAGCGCTTTCATCAAACAGAAATATGTCAGCTGCATATTCTAAGTCAGCAAGTAATTAATTCTCTCGGTAACAGCTCAACTCCTGAAAAGTCAGACAAAGTCAGAGTCGTCCACCAAACCATGTCAAAGACAAATTTGAATACGAATGGAGAAAGTAGATTACACTGACGAATGCCACTTGAAGTAATCAGTGCCAGTAACAGCTCACTACGATCTCTGACACGACCAGTAGTGTTCGAGTAGAGAGTCTGTAAAAAGGTAATTTACACTTATTTTACTCCTTTTGAATGACAGATACTACCACAGAACCGAACGATCAACAGAGTGAAATGCGGTCTTAATTTCGAGATATACAACCATTTCGGAGCATCTGAATATGTGTCTGTGTTCTAGGAACTGACGAAGTTTGAATATCTCCTCTACACATCCACGTTCAGGTTTGAAACTGGCCATGGTTTTATCCCATCTCTTCAAGATCCCTAGTTAAGCGTCAAAGTATTATCGAAGCTAATGTTTTGGACACGATAAAGTAAATCGTCTATGATTGACACAACACGACATTTATCCTTTCTTATAGACAGATTGATTGAGACCAGTCGAAAAGAATTACGTCCAGTTCATAGATTCTATCTAAGATCACAGTTAAACTCACTATTAAAACTGGACCGTCATCCTTCAAAAGCTCAGGGGTAAGCCTGTCAGGGCCTGCTGCTCTCCATCACCTTAGGTCGCTTTCAGCCTAACCGGCTTCATCAGGAGTTGTAGAACTGACATCGATTCCAACCATTAATCCAATCTCCTCTATTTAGAACGAATAGTAGTCTCGTCTTTTCTCAGAGTTTCACTAACAGCAGGGTTCCTAATATCATCTTAATTGATAAGTCTGAACAGTTGTCTACTGTGACCTGTCAGCTCTGCCTTTTCCATCTCTCTTGCTTTCGCCACCCACCATTGTTCACTCACGATCATTGTGTAGGCTTCTTATCAGCCTGCGCTTAGGTTGACTCCGCTCCTCATGATGTTCAAAGCCAAATGGGAGGCGTTTCCAAGCGCCTATCAGTTAATTAGATGCTACTGGAATCTATTGAATTTCTTTACCTTTAGGTTTAACTTACTGGCATATGTCAATGCTGTTTCCACAGTCTTTTGAATATTGTTCCAAGCTGCTCAGGAGTGGGCATCATTTACATGGCTGGCTGACAGTTTTTCATATGAGTCCATTCCACCTACTATGGAATGCATGAACAAAACTGTGAGAAAATCAAGCGAGTTAAACTAGCACACTTAAGGAAAAAACATCTGAATTGCTTAAATTAGATTATGGCACCTGTGGAATGGTCACAAGTTTATTACATGGAGATTCGGGAGGAAGCTTATGTGTGAAATCTAATGAGGCATTTCAGTACTCTCAGTAACAAAAAGAATTTTCGAAAGAATGCAACTATTCATATGAACTGCTTAGTAAACGGCCGACCTTTCCTTAAAATTCGATACACCAGGATATGATATGTAGTTTCCAAATTTGCGGTTTGACTCAACTTTCGCAGATACTGCCAATGATTTACCACATAGGTTTGAAGACAAGATACTGTCGACTTAGATTCATAAACAGTTAAAGTGAAAATATATGAGAGAATATACGTACAGATATAGATTTTGGCATTGGGTAACGCACAGTGGTTCAAAAAACTCACCTTCACTCTCTCGTTTCGTGGTGCTGAAGAGAAGAGGGGAAGGAAAGATAACAGTAAAACAAGCAGTGGCAAGGGGTTGAAGAGATCTTCACTGTAGATATTCGATATATCTCCTAGGATTCGTATGCTATTCGTCCTGATAAACGTTACTAGATAACTCCCAGTGGTGAAAAAATTCAGAAGAATAATTAACGTTTGTAATGTTTATCGTCGCAACACATAGATCACAGAACTATAATAAAACGAATCGAAGGCGAAATGATATACGAATGCAGAAGCGCGAATGAATAAGATTAAGATGTAAACATATGAAAATGAATAGGTCACTTAATTATATAAGCGGCCAACATAGAAGCTATTGGGATGAATACGTGCATAGGCTGTAACCAGTAACCAGGCCTACTTGCTCACACAAGAGCGATAAAAATAAGAGTACAAAGGTATAGACAATGAGGCTATCTGTTAAAAAAGTTAATGAAAGGGCTTGACCAAACTACACCTACACAAACTCAAATGCATGTGACGTGTTCTGAAATTATGTTGATTTCAATAGTTCGTTTCTGGGTTTTAGTTATCACAAAAAGATTGACGGTCAAAACCTCTGGATGGTCTACATGATATAAGGGAGAAAATGATGGTGTTTCGATACCGTTATTCTATATACATGAGAATAGTTTATGTGAAACAAAAGCACTTCAATAACAATTGACTGACTTGTCCGATGAATTTACGGATTTACATGCGATAGTATTCAACGTTCACGTGAGGCTCACGTGCATACCAGGCAGTCGTGGCAGCAACTATTTCCGGTCACTCAACAGTTAGTCTTCCGCTATCAGGAATAATGCTTAATACGTACTTTAGAAGGATTTATTTTAGAATATCAGTGTCCGTAAATACATTTTGACATGGACCATAGCAAATGGACAAGACAGTCCAAAATTCTGTTTGCAAGGGTATGGCGCTTAATCCTCATTGGCATGTTACCCTAAATATTCGTAAAAAGGGATGTAGGTTATATATTCATCACTAATTACTATTAGTCAAGTGATTTCCATAGGTCCTCTATTGTTTTAAAAGTTGACCGAAATCCTTCAGAATGTTTCTGATCGTTGTAAAAGTCTTGACAAATTTTAATTCTTGGAAAAATGCGAAACTATTTATGGACGACCTAATCACACTCGAGATGGTAAGTCTTAGATTTCCGCTCAAAATGCGTTCACCCAAATGGTTAAATAATATTTTGCGATTACAGATGATGTCAGCTAGTGATGAAATCACCGGGCTTTGGATCCTGAGGCCTACATCTAAATCAAAATTTCACGCACAGTTCCTCAGTAATTTATAACCCTCTTTTAATTGAAGTAAGCTCAAAGAAACCAGTTGGTTTATACTAGCCCTCGAAACAGATATTGGATATTAGAATATTCTCAAGGTTACATCAGCGCTTTTCAAAGGTCGGCCGCTAATTACAGTCTTGCCGTAGAGGCTAATCTGTTCGAAAATTTATTTAATTGCAGTATGTTAATGACATTTATAACCAGTAAAAATATTGGTAACAACTATCTTACTATGTTTAGCTTTGAAAATCAAGCAAGATTGCCTTAACATATCTTAACTCTACTATTAATTGCAGCTGCTTCGAAATAGGTAAGGTAATATGCTTAACAGCGCAAGAAGCTCCAAAGATTAATAGTCGGAAAGAATCCTAGGGGGAATGCATAATCCATTTATATGAATTGTTTGTATCCGTTGTATTCCTGACTATTTTGAACACATCACCGAACATTGCTAATTTCTCGTTGAACTCCTGTTCTCCTACGACAGTCAATCACAAGCTATCTGATTAATTGACACTCAGTAGTCAATTATTATTTAATTCTATGGATTTTCAAGTTCATCGGTAGTTTCATTGTACGTAGTACTTATAACCAACCATCCACATTGTCGACTTTTAATGTTTGTTGGTTTTGAAAGGAATCCAGAGATGATGGGAATAAGGTTTGACCTCATTTCAAGAATCTATTGACTGTTAAGTTGAGGCATGTAGATATGGACACACAACCTGGTTGGAAACGTTTGGTCTCAAACGTGCAGGTTCACTCACTATTCGTTTCCCTTTACAACCTAAGTTTTTAACTTATTTTGTTTGTTCCCAATTCACAAATTATTTCAGATCATATCTTCCATATCTAGTCGCTTTTATAACAATTGGTGCTTTTAGTAATTTGCCATGATAGAATTTATGCTGACTGACTTATCACGTACTGATATAGTGTGGTAACTTGAATTAGTGCAGATATGTGCCAGCTTTAATGCTAATTATTGGGGACTGATTTATTTATAGTTCAGTACAAAAATGTAGTCGTCAATATTTAGACCCAAATCAAAATAAATTAGTCAAATTACATACTCTGTTGACTTGTACCATGTTGGCAGATTAACATCTAGTTACATCAACCAGTAAGTAATACTCTAATTTGATCTCCATTTATATCTTTCTTAAAAGTGGTTAGTCATATTTACTAGGCTTAATCACGTCCTGTTCGGTCTTTGTTGTTACCTGTTTTTAGTTTTACATCTATTAGGTTGAATATGTTAGCTTTTAATCTTACAGTTTATTGTTGGTTTCTCCAATACAGACCTTCAGTGTGTATATATTCAAGTTTCCATAACTTCTAACTACTTAATTGTTGATATTCGTTAAATTTGAGTTCTTTATTTCTTTAATTTTCATTTTTAAAGGTTACGCGTAAACTCAGGAGTATCTAGTGTTTTCTTTATCAAACTATGGCTAATAAAAAATGTATGCCTTTAATTACTAATTACAAATCGGATGATTCCTCTTTGGATGATGATGATGATGATGCTGATGATGATAATGAAATCTTTAATAGTTTCACAGTGAATAGTATCAATGAAGCTACTGATGAAGATGATCAACCATTGGTTAGTTCTAAATGTTACCATTTTCTTCTACTTTATTCTTTACTTGCTTGGTATTTTCTTTTCGATTATAATCATTAATTTTTTTAGAAAAATCCCATCACTTTTGTTTTAACGTTTAATAAGATTTTATGGATTTTATATAAGTCCAAAAATGATTATAGTTAAATGCACATCCAGAACTAATCTTGGACGTAAAGACTGCTTTTAAGAAATGTCTGATTATACAGTAATCACATATTGAATTTTGTATAAATTCTTTCAATCTAAATAACTCGCCTAAGCATCTTTGTTTAACCAGTGATTGCCACTAATTTTAGGCTTATTAAATCTTACTGGCTTAAAAAGGTAATTCAGCCAATTCTTTTTTTTTAAGCAAATGAGATAAGTTTTCAAAATTACAGCTATTCTTCCTCTAGTTTGTATTGACTACTTCTAGCTATGAAGTTTGAAATACAGATATCACATAGTAGTCAGGTATTTCTATCAGATAACCAGCATATAAATCGTTGATGTCATCTCATAACAAAGGTCAGTTCTGTAGACAATACACCTCAGTTTTCTGTAAAGATTTTTGTTATTGACGTTAGTTTCTTATAGGCATAGAGATTATACATTAAAAACAATTCACGAAAACGCTGTATTTGTCAATAAAAAGATAATCAATTTTACAGATTAACATCATAATATTATTATCATGTACATCTGAAAACAATCGATTTTTAAAACGGTTAGTATTATTAGGCTATGTGTTTCAGAGGTTTAGAAGTGCAGAGGCGTAAAAAACTATTCATTAATGCGTGGGTGGCTGTGAGTACTGAATTTAAACCACATTTATTCTGATATTGTCTGTGTTTTACCAGGCTCAACCTGGTTGTCTGTTGGACTCTTCAGTTACGCTTCTAGGTCTGCAAAAACACTACCATCCTAATTTTGTACTATTTTTTATATTTGTTACATCAATCTTCTTCTTACGACTTGACCTCTTCCACCACAAAAGACTCTTCATAATGACTGTAGTGGACAACGTGTTATTTCTGACCTTTTAGAATTGTATGTTACGTGTTTCAAATTTGAACAACAGGCTTCACTAGTTAAGTTACTATAGATGGTCAGTGTAATTTTCTCTCTTTGAATCTATTATTCTTGACTTTTCTCATAGTATCACTGGGGTTAGTATGCGACTAAGTTGAAAGTTAGAATGGAATCTTTCATGTTAGATTCTGGTAGACTTTTGGTTGTACACTGTTCGATTACACTAGATAGCGGCAAAATAGGAGCACCATTATTTAAATAGTCTGTGTACACTTTCAATGCCTGTAATTGATGAGTTTTACCGTAAATTTTGTGACCTTAAAAAGCCAAAACGTTAGATATAGTCATTCTAGCAGGTGATTTTACTGTCCCGAGTAGGTATTGTGATCAGCTAGGGGCGGCCAGACCAAAAGAAATGACAGAAATCCATGAAGTCACTGACCAGTGGACTAAGTTATGTCATTAGGTGTCGACTACCTGGTTGGGGTCTGTGAGATGATAAAAATCGATGGTTAGAGACCCTGAATGTCAGTCAGTCAGATGCAACGTAGAACTTTGTACGTAAGTACATCAGTTCATGTACCACATCAGCACAGAGATTTAATTGTCAATTCAAATCCAATAGTAGAAGAGGTAGTAAAAGTATTAGAAGTAATCGGAGAGTTTAGGATTAGAAGATATTATTCTATAAGTATGATTCAGTGAGATAAGTTTAGAAAGTCAAAACTAGAGTTGTTGAAGAACCCAGAAGATTAGGATTTGAGAGAACACAAAGAATAAATGCACCGGCGCCATTGCAAACGGTTTTGAGCCATGTCATTCAACGTCTCTAACCATCGATTATTGTCATCTCGCGGACCCCAACCAGGTAGTCTACATCTACCAACATGACTCAGTCCACTCGTCAATGACTTCATGGATTGCTGCCATGTTTTGATTTGGCTGCCCCTATCTTTCTTCCAACCTATTCCTACACTACAAAACAAAGCTCGACGAGGCAGTTGGTGGCTAGGAATACGTAACAACACATGTCCCAACCACCTCAACTGATGAAGTTTCACCACTTCATCTATTGACCTGCCATTCTTACCTAGCACCCGATTCCTAATAACAGCGTTGCTCACTCGGGTGTCCCAGAATATACAAGCAGTGCTTCGAAGACACCTATGATCGAAAACCAGTAACCTAAGAATATCTTCTACTCTCACTGGTCATGTTTCACAGCCATAAAGTAAGATGGAGCGAACTGCTGTGCAGTACACTCGTCCTTTAGTCAGCAAGTGGATATCTCACCTACTCCATAAGTGACGCAGGTTGGCAAAGGCCAATCGAGCCTTCTGTATCCGAGCTGAGATTTCGTCAGTCACCAGGCCATCGGCACTGATGAGACTCCCAAGATAAGTGCAGAGGTCTACACGCTCGACTACTTCACTCCCTATCACTAGTTCACGTGGCGATGCAACTCAATCTTGAATCAACATTTTGCATTTTGATGGTGAGACCCTCAATGACATGGCTCAAAACTGTTTGCAATGGCACAGGTTCATTCATTCTTTATGTTATCTGTGTGTTCATGTGATATGGCAACTTGAACTGATGATGTACGTACGTACGTATGTACGAGGTTCTATGTTGCTGAATCATCATCATAATCATCATCAAGTATTTTGATCTCAATTGAAATACACTTGCATGATTTTCTTCGTTTTTTCTCGGTATCACTGTTCGGCAAATAGATTATGATAACCGCTTGCTGCAAATACAAACAAACGAACAAACAATCGTTTGTTTAAGTAGCAAGTGCCTATCAATAGAGACATTGTGTTTTGACGCTTGATTGACCTGCGTAATCTGTTCAATGGCAGTTGTAAATTAATTATCGCGGATACAGAAAGCTCGATTGGCTTTGCCAACCTGCGTCACTTATGGCGTAGGCGATATATCCATGGTGCTGACTAAAGGACGAGTGTACTGCGCAGTAGTTCGTTCCGTTCTCTTATACGGCTGTGAAACATGGTCGTTAAGAGTAGAAGATTTTCGTAGGTTACTAGTATTCGATCATATATGTATAAGAAGCATTGTTCGTATATCGTGGGACAACCGAGTAAGCAACGCTGTCGTTAGGAATCGGGTGCTAGGTAAGAATAGCAGATCAATAGATGAAGTAATGAAACTTCATCAGTTGAGGTGGTTGGGACATGTGTTACGTATGCCTAACCACAGACTGCATCGTCGAACTATATTTTGCGAAGTAGGAATAGGTTGAACGAAAGCTAGGGGTGGTCAAACCAAAATATAGCACGAATCCATGAAGTCATTGATGAGTGGACTTAGCCATATCGGTAATTGTCGACTACCTGGTTGGGGTCCGCGAGACGATAGTCATCAATGGTTAGAGACCTTGAACGACATGGCTCAAAATCGTTTGCACTGGCGCAGGTGCATCCATTGTTCGAGCTCTCTCAAATCCTAATCTTCTGGATTCATCAGCACTTTCTCTGCCTTTGTCCTTTTAACCTTATCTCACACTGAATTATACTTCTTGAATAATATCTGCAAACCCTAGTCTTCTTCATTACCATTAATACTTCTACTACCTCTATCATTATGGGATTTGATTTGACATTTGCGTTTCTGTACTAATGTGGTATGACAACATGAACTTATGTACATACGTACGAATAGTACTGATATAACTGAGATGCAAATACATTTTAGTGTTTATTTTTCTGTTTCAAACAAGCATATATGCCTGTTCTGACTTCTAACTATGTCACAGTATCGACATATCGATGTGTGTATGTTTCCAAACTGTTGTAATGCTGTTTTTTTTGTGCGGTCTTATTTTTTTTTCGAAAATCTTTCATTTCTTTGTTTTTATTATTATTTTTCTTCATTTAGTCTCATTTCCGTTCTGTGCATACAACAAAAAATGATTTTTTAAAAAATTATCCAACTATTCTACAACAATCAGTTACAAATAATTCATCTGTGAATACATTGAAAAAAAAATCACAGTTGATACTGTCATCATCTAATGTTGATGATGCTGATGCTGATGCTGACGATTCAATTGTACCGAATATCTCTGATTCCGATGAGTCAAATGATTCTTTCTCATCTGGTACTGATGATGAAGAGTTTCAAAATTTAGTGAACAATTCCGCTGCATTACCTGTAATTGAAGTAAGACGATGGACCGCTGTTGCAATTTTATGCTTACATATTTGATTTTTTTCTGTTAGAAATTTAAATACCAATCAGTACAATGAATATGATTAGAAGAGACCTTGAACGACATGGCTCAGAATCGTTTGCAATGGCGCAGGGGCATCCACTCTTTGTGTTCTCTCAACTAATTCTAACCTTCTGAATTCCTCATCACCTCTCTCTTTCTCCTTCTAAATTAATCTCACTGAATTATACTTTTCGAATCATATCTTCGTTCCCTAATCTTCTCCATTACTGCTGATAATTCTACTATCGCCACCACTATTGGATTTGAACTGAAAGTTACGTCTCTGTGCTAATGTTGTGGTATGGCAAACTGAACTGATGTACATAAGTACGAAGGTTTGTGTTGTATCTGTCTGTCTGTCTGTCTGTCAGTACAATGAATAACATAGGTTTTCGGACGTGTTACCTACCTTCAACGTATATATTTGTATATTTAGATGCTAGTTATTTCCTCTGAACTCTGATTATATATATATATATGTATAGAAGAAGATTAAAATTTGAGAGAAGACAAACAATGAATGCATCTGGGCCATTGCAAACGATTTTGAGCCATATCGTTCAATGTCTCTAACCACTGGTCATTATCGTCTCGCGGACCCCAACCTGCCAACATGGCTCAGTCCATTAGTTAGTAGTGACTTCATCCCGACCGTAGCTGCTACCTTAACGTGGTGGTCGGGCTTGCCTATCGTGATGACCCAACCGAGCTATACTGGCTGGAACATATGTTCCTGAAGGCTCTGCCATGCCAGGAAGGTCGATTGGAGAACGATGAGACTAAAAGCAGCTACCCAAGGTCTGAGAGCGAAGTCGTACTGCTGACTGCAGAGGGGTGTGACAGCAGTAAGGTGTTTCCCTCGTACAACTAGCATGTGCAGCGATGCTGCCTTCTCACAAGGAAGGAAGGGTTAGAAAAGGTCGACCCTAAAAATGTCACACCTCACCCTACCTCACGGGTTCCCGTCTCCTTGGGTAAGGGTGCCTACTAAGTGCTTTTAAGAGCGGAGCTGATATTCAAAAAACCTCTCATCAAAAGGCCGTGTATGACCGGCCTCAAACAGTTGTCCTTTGGGCTCTGTGGTCACGCTCCCAGGTCGTTAAGATCAACACGAATCTATCTTCCTTTTCAGGTCCCTCAAGAAACAACCTTCCACCGTGTGGGCAACCGGAAAGTGACAACCGCCCTCATACCCGTAAGAGCACACGAGACCGAATTGGTCGAAATCAAATCCTTCCTACACCCACACATACCTCTCTTCTCTCCACAACGAACTCTTCTCACATCCCCTTATCTCACTGCACCGCTAATGCAGACGAAGCGAGTTCACGAAACGTCATTCCTGGTCTCTTGAAACCCCGTTCTAGACTACATATTGGAGCTTTTAATGTACGGACATTGTGTCAAATAGGGCAACAGGCTTCCTTAGCTAGGACTTTAGAATCTCGTGCCACCGATTACTTCTACCTCTTCTACTATTGGATTTGAATTGACAATTATATCTCTGTGCTGATAAGGTATGGCAACATGAACTGATGTACTTACGTACAAAGTTCTGCGTTGCATCTGACTGACTGACTAAGTGACTTCATAGATTTTTGCCATGTTTTAGTCTGACCGCCCCTAGCTTTTTTCCATCCCACCTCTACATCACAAAACATCGCTCGTCTAGAAAGTTGGTGGTTGGGCACATTTAACACTTTTTCTGACCTTAGTACATTTTTTATGACAACAGTATAACGTACTCGATACACCTACTAAAGATATCAAACTAAAAGGTACACCTAAATAAATCTGAATTCGTTAACTAAGTCTGAATAATTGTCTACTGTTGCGTTCAAGTAAACCTCGATTATACTTGGGTGCCTAACTAGAGCTCTTGAAGAGCAGACTAGGGAAAACCAGGCCGATTTCAGACCTGGACGTGGCTGCACAGATGTTCACACTGCGATGGGTCCTGGAACACAGACACACATTCAGGCGTCCAACATTAGTTGTCATCCTGTACCTCAAATCGGCAATTGACTCAGTGGATCCTGAGGTTCTATGGCAGTATCTGTCATTAAAAGGTGTACCAGAGAAGTATATTAACCTTATAAAAGCTCTCTACCTGAACACTACAGGTTGAGTTAGAGCTTATGGTGAACTGTCATCGCAATTGACTACTTCAAATGGTATCCGTCAGGGATATGCTCTCTCTCCAGTCTTGTTTAATTTTGTCACAGACTTGCTTCTAGATATAACATTATCTTCGTCTGACTTTTCGGAAGTGGACCTTTTACCAGAAGATTCACTGGTTGACTTAAAATATGCAGATGACATAATTCTACTTGGTGAAGACGCTGACAAAATGCAGAGTCTTCTAACTACCCTAAGCAACAATGCAAGCATGTTTGGGATGCGTTTTTCCCCGTCGAAATGCAAACTGTTGCCTCGATATTGGGTTGCATCGGCACCTGAACTAGTGATAGGGTGTGAAGTAATTTAGCGTGTTCATCACTTTACTTATCTGGTGTGTCTCATCAGTACTGATGGTCTGGGGACTTACTAAATCTCAGCACAGATACAGAAGGCTCGATTGGCTTTTGCCAACCTGCGTCACTTATGGTCCAGGCGAGATATCCGCTTGTTAACCAATGGACGAGTGTACTGCACAGCAGTTCGCTCCGTCCTACTGTATGGATGCGAAACATGGCCAGTCAGAGTAGAAGATAATCGTAGATTACTAGTCTTTGATCATTGGTGTCACCGAAGCAATACTCGTGTATTCTGGGACAACCGAGTGAGCAACGCTGTTATTAGGGAACGGGTACTAGGTAAGAATGGCAGATCAATAGATGAAGTGGTGAAACTTCATCAGTTGAGGTGGTTGGGACATGTGTTGTTACGTATTCCTAGCCACCAACTGCCTCGTCGAGCTTTGTTTTGTAGTGTAGGAATAGGTTGGAAGAAAGTTAAGGGCAGCCAGACCAAAACATGACAGAAATCCATGAAATCACTAACTACCTAGTTGGAGCCCGCAAGATGATGGTTATAGACCCTAAATGACATGGCTCGAAACCGTTCGCAATGGTGTAGGTGCATTTATTCCTTGTGTTCTCTCAAGTCCCAACTTTCCAAATTCCTCATCACCCCTATCTTTCTCTTTCTGAATTTACCTCACTGAATTATACTTCTTGAATACTATCTTCGAACCTTAATCTCTCCGATTACTGCTAATACCTTAACTACCTCCACTACTATGGGATTTGAACTGACAATTGCGTCTGTGTTCTATTTTAGTATGGCAACTTGAACTGATGTACGTACGTACGTACAGAATTCTGCATTGTAACTGACTGACTACTGAATTAACGCACTGAATCAACCGAATCAACTGGTTTTAACAAAAAACATACATGATAGATTTAAGAATAAATAGTGGTAGGTAAGTTAATGACAGTTCAATTTATTCAAAATATACTCAGTAAGCTTTAGAATAAATAGATGGTAGTTGGCAATAGAATCTCCTATTTGGGATAAGTGATATTACCTGTATATCCCAGAGTTGATTGTTCACTCGGGGATTCGAACTGGGTACCGTTTTTGCTTCAAAGCACCAACCGAGTTATTATTCATCTAAACTACTACGTGAAACTATCCTCTAGCCTGTACAACATGGTGATGACCACTTAAAAGCAATATCAGTTTTGGTTGGTATTGTTGTTTGTGTGAGTAATAAACATTCACTTCTCAAAGTAAACACCGAATTAACCATTCAGTCTCTCTCAAAGGACACTGATTGTACACTGCTCTATGGGAGATTCTCAGCATCTTTAGCCTATGCACTATATATTTCTCTTATTATCCTACTTCTAACTTTGATATTGTCCACTCAGTAGTCCAAATATGACTGAGTAATGCTTTCGAAAGCGCCTATTATCAAATTCTAGTAACCTATGAATGTTCTCTGCGTTTAAAACATACATTTCATAGAAATAAATCCAAGAGTACTGGTACACAGTGAACTCATCTCTTTGTTGGCAGACAGATGTTTCTCCAACATGACAAGTGGAGTAAGTTGACGAAAGCCAAGCAAACTTATCAAATCTGTACCGATTTGTCTGTTATGTCTGACGAAAACCAGTATTACTATGATCTTTCACATATCAGCATTATTCTGACCAACACAACATAATAACATGACATGATTCACACCTTGTTTAAGTTGCCAATAATAATGTCAACGACATCACACATGACATTTGGTTTCACTACTGCTTACTTCTCTCTGTTACTTTTTTAATTGAACACATAAATATTCGTATGAAGTAAATATGCACTACACAAATCATTGAATATGTGTGTTTGAGCTGGAATACTATCCCCGACCGTAGCTGCTACCTTAACGTGGTGGTCGGGTTTGACTATCGTGATGACCCAGCCGAGCTATACTGGCTGGAACATATGTTCCTGAAGGCTCTGCCATGCCAGGAAGGTCGATTGGAGAACGATGAGACTAAAAGCAGCTACCCAAGGTCTGAGAGCGAAGTCGTACTGCTGACTGCAGAGGGGTGTGACAGCAGTAAGGTGTTTCCCTCGTACAACTAGCATGTGCAGCGATGCTGCCTTCTCACAAGGAAGGAAGGGTTAGAAAAGGTCGACACCTCACCCTACCTCACGGGTTCCCGTCTCCTTGGGTAAGGGTGCCTACTAAGTGCTTTTAAGAGCGGAGCTGATATTCAAAAAACCCTTCATCAAAAGGTAGTGCATGATCGGCCTCAAGCAGTTGTCCCTTGGACTCTTTGGTCACGCTCCGAGGTCGTTAAGACCAACACTAATCTATTTTTCTTTTCAGGTCCTTCAAGAAACAACCTTCGACGGTGTGGGCAGCCAGAAAGTGACAACCGCCCTCATACTCGTAACAGCACACGAGACCGAATTGGTCGAAATCAAATCCTTCCTACACCCACACATACCTCTCTTCTCTCCACAACGAACTCTTCTCACATCCCCTTATCTCACTGCACCGCTAATGCAGACGAAGCGAGTTCACGAAACGTCATTCCTGGTCTCTTGAAACCCCGTTCTAGACTACATATTGGAGCTTTTAATGTACGGACATTGTGTCAAATAGGGCAACAGGCTTCCTTAGCTAGGACTTTAGAATCTCGTGCCACCGATTACTTCTACCTCTTCTACTATTGGATTTGAATTGACAATTATATCTCTGTGCTGATAAGGTATGGCAACATGAACTGATGTACTTACGTACAAAGTTCTGCGTTGCATCTGACTGACTGACTGAGTGACTTCATAGATTTTTGCCATGTTTTAGTCTGACCGCCCCTAGCTTTTTTCCATCCCACCTCTACATCACAAAACATCGCTCGTCTAGAAAGTTGGTGGTTGGGCACATTTAACACTTTTTCTGACCTTAGTACATTTTTTATGACAACAGTATAACGTACTCGATACACCTACTAAAGATATCAAACTAAAAGGTACACCTAAATAAATCTGAATTCGTTAACTAAGTCTGAATAATTGTCTACTGTTGCGTTCAAGTAAACCTCGATTATACTTGGGTGCCTAACTAGAGCTCTTGAAGAGCAGACTAGAGAAAACCAGGCCGATTTCAGACCTGGACGTGGCTGCACAGATGTTCACACTGCGATGGGTCCTGGAACACAGACACACATTCAGGCGTCCAACATTAGTTGTCATCCTGTACCTCAAATCGGCAATTGACTCAGTGGATCCTGAGGTTCTATGGCAGTATCTGTCATTAAAAGGTGTACCAGAGAAGTATATTAACCTTATAAAAGCTCTCTACCTGAACACTACAGGTTGAGTTAGAGCTTATGGTGAACTGTCATCGCAATTGACTACTTCAAATGGTATCCGTCAGGGATATGCTCTCTCTCCAGTCTTGTTTAATTTTGTCACAGACTTGCTTCTAGATATAACATTATCTTCGTCTGACTTTTCGGAAGTGGACCTTTTACCAGAAGATTCACTGGTTGACTTAAAATATGCAGATGACATAATTCTACTTGGTGAAGACGCTGACAAAATGCAGAGTCTTCTAACTACCCTAAGCAACAATGCAAGCATGTTTGGGATGCGTTTTTCCCCGTCGAAATGCAAACTGTTGCCTCGATATTGGGTTGCATCGGCACCTGAACTAGTGATAGGGTGTGAAGTAATTTAGCGTGTTCATCACTTTACTTATCTGGTGTGTCTCATCAGTACTGATGGTCTGGGGACTTACTAAATCTCAGCACAGATACAGAAGGCTCGATTGGCTTTTGCCAACCTGCGTCACTTATGGTCCAGGCGAGATATCCGCTTGTTAACCAATGGACGAGTGTACTGCACAGCAGTTCGCTCCGTCCTACTGTATGGATGCGAAACATGGCCAGTCAGAGTAGAAGATAATCGTAGATTACTAGTCTTTGATCATTGGTGTCACCGAAGCAATACTCGTGTATTCTGGGACAACCGAGTGAGCAACGCTGTTATTAGGGAACGGGTACTAGGTAAGAATGGCAGATCAATAGATGAAGTGGTGAAACTTCATCAGTTGAGGTGGTTGGGACATGTGTTGTTACGTATTCCTAGCCACCAACTGCCTCGTCGAGCTTTGTTTTGTAGTGTAGGAATAGGTTGGAAGAAAGTTAAGGGCAGCCAGACCAAAACATGACAGAAATCCATGAAATCACTAACTACCTAGTTGGAGCCCGCAAGATGATGGTTATAGACCCTAAATGACATGGCTCGAAACCGTTCGCAATGGTGTAGGTGCATTTATTCCTTGTGTTCTCTCAAGTCCCAACTTTCCAAATTCCTCATCACCCCTATCTTTCTCTTTCTGAATTTACCTCACTGAATTATACTTCTTGAATACTATCTTCGAACCTTAATCTCTCCGATTACTGCTAATACCTTAACTACCTCCACTACTATGGGATTTGAACTGACAATTGCGTCTGTGTTCTATTTTAGTATGGCAACTTGAACTGATGTACGTACGTACGTACAGAATTCTGCATTGTAACTGACTGACTACTGAATTAACGCACTGAATCAACCGAATCAACTGGTTTTAACAAAAAACATACATGATAGATTTAAGAATAAATAGTGGTAGGTAAGTTAATGACAGTTCAATTTATTCAAAATATACTCAGTAAGCTTTAGAATAAATAGATGGTAGTTGGCAATAGAATCTCCTATTTGGGATAAGTGATATTACCTGTATATCCCAGAGTTGATTGTTCACTCGGGGATTCGAACTGGGTACCGTTTTTGCTTCAAAGCACCAACCGAGTTATTATTCATCTAAACTACTACGTGAAACTATCCTCTAGCCTGTACAACATGGTGATGACCACTTAAAAGCAATATCAGTTTTGGTTGGTATTGTTGTTTGTGTGAGTAATAAACATTCACTTCTCAAAGTAAACACCGAATTAACCATTCAGTCTCTCTCAAAGGACACTGATTGTACACTGCTCTATGGGAGATTCTCAGCATCTTTAGCCTATGCACTATATATTTCTCTTATTATCCTACTTCTAACTTTGATATTGTCCACTCAGTAGTCCAAATATGACTGAGTAATGCTTTCGAAAGCGCCTATTATCAAATTCTAGTAACCTATGAATGTTCTCTGCGTTTAAAACATACATTTCATAGAAATAAATCCAAGAGTACTGGTACACAGTGAACTCATCTCTTTGTTGGCAGACAGATGTTTCTCCAACATGACAAGTGGAGTAAGTTGACGAAAGCCAAGCAAACTTATCAAATCTGTACCGATTTGTCTGTTATGTCTGACGAAAACCAGTATTACTATGATCTTTCACATATCAGCATTATTCTGACCAACACAACATAATAACATGACATGATTCACACCTTGTTTAAGTTGCCAATAATAATGTCAACGACATCACACATGACATTTGGTTTCACTACTGCTTACTTCTCTCTGTTACTTTTTTAATTGAACACATAAATATTCGTATGAAGTAAATATGCACTACACAAATCATTGAATATGTGTGTTTGAGCTGGAATACTATCCCCGACCGTAGCTGCTACCTTAACGTGGTGGTCGGGTTTGACTATCGTGATGACCCAGCCGAGCTATACTGGCTGGAACATATGTTCCTGAAGGCTCTGCCATGCCAGGAAGGTCGATTGGAGAACGATGAGACTAAAAGCAGCTACCCAAGGTCTGAGAGCGAAGTCGTACTGCTGACTGCAGAGGGGTGTGACAGCAGTAAGGTGTTTCCCTCGTACAACTAGCATGTGCAGCGATGCTGCCTTCTCACAAGGAAGGAAGGGTTAGAAAAGGTCGACACCTCACCCTACCTCACGGGTTCCCGTCTCCTTGGGTAAGGGTGCCTACTAAGTGCTTTTAAGAGCGGAGCTGATATTCAAAAAACCCTTCATCAAAAGGTAGTGCATGACCGGCCTCAAGCAGTTGTCCCTTGGACTCTTTGGTCACGCTCCGAGGTCGTTAAGACCAACACTAATCTATTTTTCTTTTCAGGTCCTTCAAGAAACAACCTTCGACGGTGTGGGCAGCCAGAAAGTGACAACCGCCCTCATACTCGTAACAGCACACGAGACCGAATTGGTCGAAATCGAATCCTTCCCACTATCCTGCCACATAAAGCGATACAGGTGGTTTACTTAGGCCACTCCCCAAGTCTTTGTAACCTAGAAGTCCAATCTACAACTCGATATGGGACGCAGTCCCTTGGTAGTCGGCGACCAATAGTGGCTTCATTCGTTATTTGTTTCTTCAGTATCGTGATGACGATGTGTGATGAAGGTTTCCCAATTCTTCTGTACCCACCAAGCCTCTGTAGGCCCTCATTGGACATTCGCTCTTCGTTCTCTCCTCAACTTATTAAACAACATCTTTGATGCAAGAAGTCGGTGACTAAGACTTTCCTGTCTATAGTAATTATATACGCTTGATCATATGAAAGCATTCACATTGGGAGAGTAGACTGTTTCATATCCTTGGTGGTTAACAGGGCATATTCAACTTCCATACTATATGTGTATATAGAACATTTAGAAACAGCCACCAAGTAAAGTCGATCACATTTGTTGACTTGTTTTTCCTTTCTCTTGACTTATTTTTTTTTCTGCAGCTCTTGAGATCTAAACAGTTAACATTGATGTATGGTGAGAAAAATCGTCACAAAGTCAAATCAGATAGAATCATGTAAGCTTTTACGGGAATCAGTTTGATTTTACTATTGAATAATATTGCTGTTTGTTAAGCTCTATAGTTGATGTATGATTTATTTAGGAGAAATAATTACCATTTTTTACACATTTGAAATCATCAATCAATCATTGTTAGACCACCATTAGAAACCTGGAAGCAGTGGACGGCCGTTTCGTCCTTGTATGGGACTCATCAGCAGTGCGCATGCACGACTCCTGCCCCTCGTAGGATTCGAACCTGGGACCTTCGGTATTGTGCGCGAACGCCTAACTATTGGACCACTGGGCCGGCATCCAACGGTCTTAATGTCTGCGAGGAGCAGGAGTCGTGGATGCGCACTGCTGATGAGTCCCATACCAAGACGAAACGGCCGTCTTTCAGTGCTTCCAGGTTTCTAATGGTGGTCTAACAATGATTGATTGATGATTTCAAATATGTAAAAACACAAACCTCCAAAACTCTGCCCCAAAATTACCAGTTTGTTTGTGTGAACAAACCAGGTTTTAGCTGAGGAAGAAAGAATTGGAAAGTACCCGACTACGTCACAAGGCAAGCCCTAACTTGGAATCCTGAAGGCCAAATGAAAAGATCAAAGAACACAATACGCATGATAATTGAAGCTAGTCACTCCTCTTCACTGTTAACTTTAGAGATACACCGAACTAATGGCAGATAAATCAATGTGCACGTATAAAAAATAAAAAAATGAAAGATACCACGAATATCGATTGATCAAAAAATCTGTTAACTCATTTGACTGCTTCAATTTTCAAACCTGTTGATGAGCCCCATATCAGGACGAAACGGCCTGAGTGTTTCCATGTTTCTAATGGTAGTGGTCTAACATTGATCGATTGATGATTTCAAAAAGTTACTCAGCAATCTGCACAGTGCCATAATGAAAATTACCATATGCTTACTAGTGACTATCTCTGTAAGGACTTTTCTGCCAGTCCTAGTAAGACTTGACCAATAAAGTTTAACCTTGTCCGGGTGTGAGGCAGTGCTCACTGCAGACAATGGATGAGGTTGCGCAAGACCGTAGATTGATTGAAGTTAGGCATTAACACTGTCGGATGTCGGCTGGCTCAATGGTGTAGAGGTTAGGCGTTTGGATGTACGATCGAAGGTCCTGTGTTCGATTCCCGCGCTGGGACAGGAGTCGTGAATACTGGTTGTTGATGAGTCCCACACCAGGTTGAAATGGTCATCCAGTGCTTCCAGGTTTCAAATGGTGTGGCGGTCTAACAATGATCGATTCATGGTATCAATGAAACTCAACAATCTCCAAAACTGTATAATGAAAATTTAAAATATGTTTATAAGTCATTTTTACGTGAAATATATTTAAATCATACTAAATATAGAAGTAATGAGTGTGTACAAATTCTCAGTCAATCAGTCAGATGCAACGTAGAACTTCGTACGTAAGTACATCAGTTCATGTTGCCATACCACAATAGCACAGAGATGTGATTGTCAATTCAAATCCAATAGTAGAAGAGGTAGTAATCGGAGAGGTTAGGATGAGAAGCTATTATTCAAGAAATATGATTCAGTGAGAAAAGTTTAGAAAGTCAAAACTAGAGGTGTCGAAGAATCCAGAAGATTAGGATTTGAGAGAACACAAAGATTAAATGCACGGGCGCCATTGCAAACGGTTTTGATCCATGTCATTCAGGGTATCTAACCATCGATTATTATCATCTTTCGGACCCCAACCAGGTAGTCGACAACTACCGACATGACTCAGTTCACTTGTCAATGACTTCATGGATTTGTGCCATGTTTTGGTTTGGCCGCCCCTAACTTTCTTCCAACCTATTCCTACACTACAATATAAAGCTCGTCGAAGCAGTCGGTGGTTAGGCATACGCAGCACATGTCCCAACCACTTCAACTGATAAAGTTTCATTACTCCATCTATTGATCTGCCATTCTTACCTAGTACCCGTTTCCTAATAACAGCGTGTACAGTGTACAAATTCTACATGAAAACCACTGATTTCTACATTCTCCTAAATTATGATTGGGTAAGAATTAATAAATCCAGTGAAATAAATTTAAAAGGAGAAAGTCAAAGGTCATTAGAAATTCAGAAGATGAGAATTCGAGAAAAGACAAACAATGGATGCACCTGCACCATTGCAAACGATTTTCAGCCATTTCATTCAAAGTCTTTAGCCACAGGTTTCCATTGTCTTGAGAACTCCAACTAGCTAGTCTTCTCCTGCTAACATGGCACAGTACAGTTGTCATTTGCTTCATAGACTGGTGCCATGTTTTGTTTTGGCCGCGCCTTGTTTTCTTCTAGCCTACTTCGACACTTGACAACATAGTCAGTCGGGGTAGTCGGTGGTTGGGCATACGTAACACATGTCCCAACCACCTCAACTGATGAAAATTTACTGCTCCTTATCCTAAGAACATCATTGCTTACTCGGTTGTCCCAGAATACACGAACAATGCTTCGAAGACACCTATGATTGAGGACAAACCACCTACGAATATCTTCTACTTTGAGTGGGCATGTTTCATAGCCATAAAGTAGGACGGAGCGAATTACTGTGCAGTACACTCGTCCTTTGGTTAGTAGACTGATGAACAGGGAACACAGACTGAATGAAATATATTAGAGTTAGGGTTTTCAATACAGACTGACATCTCTTGTGATTTTATGCTTTTTACAAATTTAAGATAAATCGAGGATAAATTTAAATTCACTTTTTCGTTTCAAAACAGAAATTTCAAATTTTTTTTACTGAATTAATAATAATAATAATAATAATAATCTACAAGTGATATACCGCTACAGTTTAAATTTCGCACCAAATTCTTTCAAAAGTGGCATCTTAATTCTGATTGGTCCACTCAAGGTCATCGGCATAACTGAGCTGTTATTTTCCAATGATCACATTATCATTATGGTGTATAGAGTAGAGTGTAGCCATGAAATCATGCTGTCGTTATTTTCTGTTTTCTTCATTGCTTATCTTTTTCATATGATCAATTTTCAATTCAATTCAATTCAATTCAAACAAACAAACAAAAAAAACAAAACAATTCCACATGACAGAAACATTGGTTATTCACAATTTTTTCAAGAAATTCAATCCGTTTTGAAATATGAACATCCTAATGCAAGTTTCCATGATTTATGTCGATTAGTTGATGAACGATGGAATCAATTATCAAAAATGCAGAAAAAAGTAAGAGTTGTACACAACAGTGTTGTGCTAATGCAGACGGAATTTTCTCTCTCTTATAATTGATTTGTTAGTCAGTCGGTCAGTTTGTATTAGCGGTGCGTGTTGATGAAAGGAATGTGAGAAGAGTTAGTCGTGGAGATCAGAGAGATGTTAGTAGGTGTAGGAAAGATTTGATTGTGACCAATTTGGTCTCGTGTGCTGTTACGAGGTGTGTGAGGGTGGATGTCAGTTCATGGCTGCCCACACCGTGGGTTAGAGTGTTTCTTAAAGAACCTGAAAAGGAAGGTAGATTAGTTTGTTGGTTTTAGAGACCTGGGGTAGAGAGAGGTATAATCTATAAGACAGTAGAACAACGTTACGAGACGCAGTCCCATGGTAGTTGGTGACCAACAATGGTTTCATTCACCAGTTGTTCCTTCAATATCATGATGACGATGTGCTTCATTTGTATTAGTTTGTAATGAGAATTTTCCTACTCTTCTGCATGGATCCTCTGTACCTACCGGACCGCTTTAGACCCCCCCCACCTGACATTCTCTTACCGTTCTATCAGTTTAGTAAACAACACCTCACCACGAGGTTAGAGGTAGTCGATAGGAGACCTTCAACCTAACTATTGTTCTATTTGGTAGTCGTTTGCAAAGTGTTGTCATAATCTTCAGGGAACTGATGCTCTCTGGGGCATTGTATCCCAGTCCATCCAATATCGCAGAGCCACGTAACCATTGGTGTATTAGACTAGAATGTATTGACTTATGTATACCAGTCTAGACTGTTAGTTTCATTAATTCCCTCATTTTGTAATTGAATGGAAATGCCATTTTAAATCATTGTGATTCATGTTTCTCTGTCTCATTAAAATTTTCTTTTAAGTTTGTAGGATTATTTCCCCTAATCCTTTTTTGGGAGAGTACCTGTATAATTTATCGTTCTATCCATTTATAACTAGTCAGTCAGTCAGTTATAACGCGGAACTTCGTACGTACGTACATCAGTTCAAGTTGTCATACTGCATCAGCACGAGATGCAACTGTCAATTCAAATCCCATAGTAGTAGCGATAGTAGAAGTATTAGCAGTAATGGAGAAGATTAGAGTTCGAAGATATGATTCGAGAGGTATAATTCAGTGAAATAATTTTAAAAACAGAATGATAGAGATGATGAGGAATTCAGCAAGTTTGAATTTAAGAGAACACAAAGAGGTGGATTCACCTGCGCCATTGCGGTCACTAGTATTCGATGATAAGTGTCTCCGAAACACTGCTCGTTTATCCCTGGGATCATCGGTTAAGGATGGCCATCTAATTGATAAAGTACTAAAGCTTCATCGGTTGAGTTGGTCGAGTCATGTGTTATACCTATGCCCAAATTCTAATCTTCTGAATTCCTTATGACCGTTTTTTTAAAATCCTTTTTCAATCAATTATAGTTCTCGAATAATATCTCCAAACCTTAATCTTCTACATTACTGCTGATACTTCTATTATGACAACTTAAACACTGATCTAGGTACGTGCCCAGTTCTACCTTGTAGCTGACTAAGTGACTGACTAAAAATGTTATACACATATGTCTTCGTTGGTCTAGATTATCTATTGATTTTCTCTCAGACGTTAAGCATTCATTAACAACTGAACTGAACCATGTTAGTGTATGTGTAGACTGCTTGGTTGAGGTCCTTGAGATGATAGTAACCGTTGCTTAGAAACTTAGAATGAACGGGGCTCAAAATCGTTTAGAATGGTGCAGGTGCATTCATTCTTTGCGTTTTCTCAAATTCTAATCTAGTGAGTTACTTATGACCGTTTTTTCTCTGGCATATACTTCTCGAATGTTATCTTCGCCCACTAATCTTTCTGATTACCGCTAATACTTCTGCTGTAGTGAACGAGAACACAGGTGGGGCAACCGGATTGTATTTAACGAAAATTACAGAGTTATTACTCAGTAAAATCGGAAAACCATATCGTAAATCAGTAATTTGCAAAATATCAGTTCATCATATCGAACTGGACTGTTCCTGTTGCAAACAACATCAATCCATTGTCACTATTCATGCGTTTCATACAAATTCCATTGTGTTCTAACTCTTCCTTTCTTGATCTTCCCCCCATCTTCTGCTGCCAGGCATTACGTTGACACTCACGTCATATACTACTTGTAGCGCGCACCACACTACTACCTCTACTACTATAAGATTTGAATTGACAATTGCGTCTCTGCGTGTGCTAATGTGGTATTATAACAACTTGAACACTGATGTACGTACAACGTACAAAGTTCTACGTTGTAGCTAACTGACTGACTGAGATGTTAAATCTTCACTTGATTTCTAATTTACTTATCCATAAAATCGTAATTTATCGATTATCGATTTTTGTGTCTATTAATTTCAGGAGTATAAAAAGCATTCTAACCTATCAAAACAGTCAAAACAAATGACTACTTCTTTAGCAAAATGTCGATCAAAATTGCTGAGATTAGTAAGTCATTTAAGTGTAGTACATACATACGTACATATAATACTTACATATTTTCCCTATTTCACTGTCTTTTGAATCGATAAATGAATATTCTATATTATAGCTGTCAATAGTTTAAACTAGATTTTTTTCAAAGGTTTATATTTATTAGAACCAGTACTTACTTACTTACTTAATTCTGTTACTCCCAATGGAGCATAGGCCGTCGACCAGTATTCTCCCAACCTACTCTGTCCTTGGCTTCACTTTCCAGTTCATGTTCATCTCCATTTCTCGGTGTAATGTGTGTTCCTTGGCCTTCCTCTTTTCCTTTGACCTTGAGGGTTTCTAGTGAGGGCTTGTCTTGTGACGCAGTTGGGTGTTTTCCGCAATCTGTGTCTGAATCCACATGCAGCTCGCATTCCTGATTTCTTCCGCTGGAATCTGGTTTGTTCTCTCCCACAGTAGGTTGTTACTGATGGTGTCTAGCCAACGTATCGGAAGTATTTTACATAAACAACTGTTAATAAATACTTGTATCTTGTGGCTGATGGCCTTGGTAGTTCTACAAGTTTCCACCCCATGCAGTAGGACTGTCTTGACATTTGTATTGAAAATTCTGACCTTGGTGTTAGAACTAGTGGTGTGAATAAATGAACCCTTTTTTTAAACCTTTTTATTACAACTGTGAAAATTTTTTGGTCGATCTTTCTACCTTCGATTTGCGTCGATTGAATAAAATTACCAATGCCAAAACAAATGCATGTTAAATTTTTTGTAATGCTTAGAATTGATCGCGAAGTGCCAAATACTCCAAAAATTCGATCGTTACAAGTCCGATGTTAGTGAATGTCTTCTATGCAACCTACAACCCTTTTTCCGGTCAGTACTAACCTTTAGTTAAGTCACCGCCAACGGACTACTTTGCATCTTCCATTTTGTATTTCAAACCCTGACCTAGATTTATCCAATTGTGATCAGCTACCACTAGCCGTGGGTGAATACGAAACTACTACTGGTTTCGGAGTACCTATCTATCTAGATACTGATTATTTCCTGTTTTACTTTTGGATGGTCAGAAAACTTATTGTCCTGATATAGTTGAAATGAACTGTACCTTCACAATTAGAAGCGAATATCATACCGAGCTACGTTTAGAATTAGCGATCAGTTCACCGACAATTATAGATGAACATTAGGTGTATTCGCGTGAAACTACGAGTTAAGTCTCTTGACGCGCAGAGAAACATTCTACATTTAGACACCGGGTTTGTGGAGGTTTCCTACAATTCATTTAGAGGTTCAGGCCTTCGCTAAACTGAGATATGGTTGTATCCGTGGATTCTCAAGTTAGAATACTTTAGTAGGCTTGCGAAAAAATGGGGGTAGATCTGATGGTCTTCGCGTCCTAACTAGTTGCAAGGAGAAGCTACATCTAGTATCTGTTGGAAGCTGTTTCAACTTATCCAAGGCACTAGGAGGAGCAAGTAGTCTTTTGTCAGTGAAATATTATGTACAATTGAATTCGTACCAGTTTGTATAACCTCCATGACGTCTTGAAACGAAGGAAAGGTCTCCAATTAATTCGTTCCTCCAGCAACACTGATAATACTATTCTATGCTACTTGGTCGGTGACTTCCAACCTGTTCGACGAAGCGGAGGGCCTTAAGGAACTCTGGCTTCTGAAGCGTCGCAAGTTATTAGATCTAGACAAATTTCTCCTTGGTCTTTTTCAATAATGGTGGCTAACTTCTGATTAGGGAACAGAGTGTTTCATCATCTTAGATTGGAACGGTTGTCGTTCCCATCTTGAACCGTCCAGCGCTTCCAGGTTTCTAATGGTGGTCGAACATGCTATGCTCGCCAACTGATATGCTTGCGGCTATTACGGGTTCACCTTACTCGATAAACAGAACGAAGATCAACGATTCATCTACTCTAATCAGATCATCCCAGGCCCCACTAACTACAGGAAGAAGTCTTGATAAGACGTAGAGAGAATTTATTCCACAGGCTACTAGGAAGTATGAGGTCCACAAGCATACAACTCAAACTTATTTATACAGTGATAAAACGCCATTTGTAAGAACCAAAAACTAGCGTACTAAAATAATTCATCAACCAATAACACAGTCAAAGATTTTCCGATTGGCTAATAATAATGTAAGCTAAAGGTCAACTAGGCGTTCTGGGGGCGCGAAAACGTAGCAATTCAAAATCTCAGAAATACATTACAAAACTAATGTAGTGAAGGAGAACACAGGTGTGAGGGTAACCGATTTTGTATTTATCGCAAATTACAGAGTTACTCAGTAGTAAAATCGGAAAACCATATCGTAACCACCGTTGTTAATTTGCAAATCTTCAATCCATCATCAATCCATCATTGTCTGACATTTCAGTCACTGTTCATGCGTTTCTTCATATAAATTCCATTGTGTTCCCCCCACTCTTCCTTTCTTTCTTGATCTTCCCCCCATCTTCTCTTCTGCTGCCAGACATTACGTTGACACTCGCGTCATATACTACTTAAAAGTAGCGCGCACCACACTAGGACCTTTCCCAAGTGTGAGTTCTGGGCATCTAACAATCCCCAACAGAACAATGATTCCTACTCTCCTTTCTTTTCTATGTAAACAAATCAATCAATATTTCATTTCAGCTAAATGAAAACAATAAACAATGCTGTAATCCGACGTGTAGAAATCCAGTTGCCTATGATCCTCGTTGGAATGGTCAGTATTGTTCAACGAAATGTGTCGGAGAACATTGTCAATTAACTTTTATTGATTGGTGCAACAATAAACGCTATGATGACGGAAAGGTAAGTGTATGTGTATTTATTGATTGGAAGTGTTGTTATGTTGTTTTGATGTGTGTAGAGAGAGATAGGCTGGAAGAAAGTTAGTTAGGTAGGTATGTGGCCAAAAAACATGGCACAAATCTATGAAGTCATTGACGATTGTTGGCCTTAGTAGTAGGTGTTGACTACCTACCTACCTGGTTGAAGTCGGTCGGCGAGGATATGTAATACCTGATGGTTAGATACTTTGAGTATGAAACAGTCCAAAATTTGCTTGCAATGGTGGCGCAGATGCATTCATCGTTTGTTTGTCTTCTCATAAATTCTAATCTTCTGAATTCCTTATTACTCCTGGATTATACTTCTTGAATAATATCTTCAAACCCTAATCTTTTTTTGATGACGGCTAATACTTCTACTACATCTTACCACTATGGTATTTGAATTGACAATGGCGTTTCAGTGTGTTGATGTGGTATGACAACTTTAACATTGGTGTATGTACGTACGTACGAAGTTCTGCATTGTATCTGACTGACTGACTGACTGTTTGCCTGGAAACGAATAAATGTTTTTACACTCTTGCACACACAATAGTACTCTGAAGTTAGCTGTTAGAATATTCATCCAATATATCCTAAGAGAATTATTGGTCAATTCCTATTGGTTAATTTCTACTGGTTAATTTTATGGTCGTCCTAGATATCAAAGTCACATACTTCAATGTTGTTTCTTATTGATCGTCCTGACTGTCAATCTCATTTCAAATGATCTTTCCTATTGGTCGTCTTAACTGTCAATGTTACAGTCTTCGATGCTGTTTCCCATTCGACCCAACTGTATTAATACGTATTATGTGTAACATTTTATGGCCAGGACCCGGACCCGGATCCCTAGTCCGGGATCCTGATTGTCTTCTGGACTCGGACCTCGTACTTTCTGAATGCTTGTAGAATACATGTTCTACTTCATATCACGTCTTCTTCTTTTATTCATTTGGGGGTTGGCACATTCGGATTAGAGTAGCTTATCGTGTTGTCACCGGATCCTCGATCCTCGCTCTCGTTTTCTGACTAGGTAAACTCGTAATAGTCCAAGTATATCAAGTTGACGTGTTTACGTGCATACGTCACACTAACTAAATTCTATTTCCTTCGAGTTGATAAGTAGTTTGAGTGTTCAGTTTATTTCTGTATTTGATTTTTTTCAATTCAATGTTCATTGATTGATTTTTGTTTCTTCTACTGTTATTAATTCTTCTTTGAAATTGATATTCAGTACAATTTTCTGGTTAACGTTTTAGTAAGGTCATTTTCTATGATATGGCTTTTTCTAATCCCTATTTGCCCACCCTTCTTCCTTTATCCGAGCTTGGGATATTGACAGTAACCCTAGAACCACATTCACGCGAGACAAGACAAGCTCATGATGTCATGTGAGAAGACAAAGAGAGTAGATGCACTTGCACCATTGCAAACGATTTTGAGACATGTCTTTCAAGGTTTCTAATCATCGGTGACCATTTGTCTCACGGATCTAAACCAGTTAGTGTTGCGCTCCTCTCTAGGTATGCTTAAAACGATTACGAGTTCACCTTAGTTGAATAACGAGAACAAAACAATGAACCAGCGTCCAGGTAGGCTACTGTGATCTGATTGTCCCAATTGTATCAGCAAGAATTCTTGATGTAGCGTAGAACGTGTATTCTACAAACACCCAGTCACCAAGCACAATGAATCCAAGCACTCAAATTGCGTTTATTTATACTCTATATAGAGACGTCCTTAGGACAGTCACAAAAATAGCACACTAAAATGACACAGCAAACCAATCAAGGTAATTTATGGGTCAATTATCACAATGAAATGAAATAGATTGCGTCACTACATATAATAGGCAAAAGTACAAGTGGATAGTAGGAAGACAGGTGTACTGATAGAGTAGTAAGAAAATTATAAAATATGATCACTAAAGTTTTATCAATAGACTTCAAATAATCAACAAAAACATCAAAACCATTACGTAATAAGCAAATGTGTAAAAATAAAAATATCATGTCGATCGTTAGTTACGTCATATCCGGCCACGGAAGAGATAGGGGTGTCACGAATTTCTTCTGAACACATAAATTGGGGTTGAATGTAAGTATTCCTGTGGCTTCCGCAATGTGTAGGAGACGGGATCGAACTCCGTTGGGAAATGATGGAGGTATACGAGATAGATCACCCGAAAAGATCTAGATTTATCTACAATGTGACTACTATATACCAGGTGTGCTAAGATAAAACTACGTATTGTTTTTGACTGACCCTTCGTAAACCATGCTGGGAGATGTTCACTCATTCGTTGGTTAAGTTGCCTGGTAGTACGCCCGATATAGCTATCTCCACAGGAGCAGCTGAATTTGTAAATGCACATAGAGAAGGCCAACTCAGGTAACTTATCCTTCGTTCGGGTAGACATCGCTGGTCGACTTGAGAAGGTCAATGCAAGTTTGGCAGCGTTGAATGTTCTGTTAATTACTCTAATTAATCTGTCCTGCAGAGTATCTCAGGCCAATATACTCACTTTTGTAGTTTTACACATATCCGCTACAAAAGAAATTTGGTTACATGTCTCACTAACAGAGCAAATATGATATGTTCAGTGGATACTTTAAGTCAGGAGCTGGAATTCATCAACGGCTCACTAACCGAGATCGGCTACCCCAGCGCATTCATAAAGAAGTATATGTTTGCCGTAAAAAAGAAGTCGGTGGTTTCGACCGCCCAAAAGAAGCCTTTATTTATGAAGTTACAATTCAACTTCTTTTTACTTACATGTTTACAACTGTCGATCTGACTACTTTTTATACTTCGTGGTAATGTACGCATCAATAGTAGTAGTAATCAGTAGTACACTTTGTAAATGTGATCATTTGAATCAGTAGACATTCATTCACTACTTCAAGTGGTGTCCGTCAGGGCTGTCCACTCTCTCCATTCTTATTTAATTTTATCATAGACATGCTGCTAGATACAACGTTATCCCCGTCTGACTTTTCAGGAGTCGACTTTCTACCAGGAAAGTCGCTTGCTGACTTAGAATATGCCGATGACATAGTTCTACTTGGTGAAGACTCTGACAAAATGCTGATGGCCATGGTGACTGACGAGATCTCAGCACAGATACAGAAGGCTCGATTGGCTTTTGCCAACCTGCGTCACCTATGGCGCAGGCGAGATATCCGCTTGCTCTCTCCTACTATACAAATGCGAAACATTGCCGTCCAGAGTAGAGGACTATCGTATGTTACTAGTCTTCGATAATTGGTGTATCCGATGCATTGCTCATGTATCCTGGGACAACCGAGTAAGCAATTCTTTCGTTAGGAAATGAGTACTAGGTTAGGATGGCAGATCAATAGGTGAAGTAGTGAAACTTCATCAATTGATGTGGTTGGGACATGTGTTACGTATGCCTAATCACTGACTGCTTCGACGAGCTATTTTTTGTGCTATAGGAATAGGTTAGAAGAAAGCTAGGGGCAGCCAAACCAAAACATGGCACAAGTCCATGAAGTCATTGACGAGTGGACTGAGTCATGTCGGTAGTTGTCGACTACCTGGTTGGGTTCCGCGAGACGATAATCACCGATGGTTAGAGACCTTGAATGACATGACTCAGAATCGTTCGCAATGGCGCAGGTTCATCCACGCTTTGTGTTTTCTCTAATTCTAACCTTCTGAATTCCTCATAATTTCTATTTTTCTCTTTCTAATTTCATCTCACTGAATTATACTTCTTGAATAGTATATTCGAGCCCTAATCTTCTCGATTACCGCTAAAACCTCTATTACCTCTACCAATATTGGATTTAAATTGAAAATCGAGTCTCTGTGTTAATGTAGTATAGCAGCTTGAACACCTTTAGCGGCTCACTACTTGACTTCAATGTAGACGAACAATCGAGTATGTGATGAAATAAATCTTCTTTTCCATTTCCGTAGATTATACTTAGGCTAACCCGGTTTGTGCAACGACGGTAGTAAGAAGCCAGACAAGGTGTTCCGTATGAATTTATTTCATGTAATCATTTATGTAGACAAACATGGAGAAGGGAAAAGCGTACAAGCAAAAACGGAGTGAATTGGAGAAGGCGAATGAGCCAACTCTCCCTCGGCTAAAGAAGAAGTGACTAAGTATTTATAGTCAAGCATTAATAATAGGCTAGACTTGTGATAAGTGAGTAAGCATCCACACACACACAATCAAACTATACAATAATCGATACAGTAATCGAATTATTACAAATTCAAACTTATGGTCGATACCATGATCAAATAGTTTAAACGAAAGTATAATGAATCAATGTCAGTTACTTGCAACGTAGAACTTCGTACGTATGTACATAAGTTCATGTTGCCATACCACGGAGACGCAAATGTCAAATCAAACCCCATAGTGATAAAGATAGAAGAGGTATTAATGGTAATGAAGAAGACTAGGATTTGAAGATATTATTCAAGAAGTATAATTCAGTGAAATAAGGTTAGAAAGACAAAAGTAGAGGTGCTGACGATTCCAGAAGATTAGGATTTAAAAGAGCTCAAAGAATGGATGCACTTGCGCCATTGTAAACGATTTTGAGCCGTGTTATTCAACGTCTCTAACCATTTGTGACTTTCGTCTCGTGGACCCCAACCAGGTAGTCTACATCTACCATGACTCAGTCCACTAGTCAGTGACTTCATGGATTTGTGCCATGTTTTGGTTTGACCACCCCTAACTTTCTTCCAACCTACTCCTACACCACAAAACAAAGTTCGTCGAGGCAGTTGGGCATTCGTAACACGTCTCAACCACCTCAACTGATGAAGTTTCAGCACTTCATTAATTGATCTGCCATCCTTACCTAGTACTCGTTTCCTAACGACAGCATCGCTTACTCGGTTGTCCCACGATATACGAGCAATGCTTCTTAAACATCTATGATCGAATACTAGTAACCTACGAACATCTACTCTGAACGGCCATGTTTCACAGCCATAAAGTAAGACGGAGCGAACGGATATCACGCCTACGCCATAAGTGACGCAGGTTGGCAAAAGCCGATCGAGCTTTCTGTATCCGTACTGAGATTTCCTCAATCACCAGGCTATCAGCACTGATGAGACTCCCTAGATAAGTGAAGTGATCAACACGCTCGACTACTTCACTCCCTATCACATAATGAATCAACGAATGATGAGTTGCTGCTGCACACCGATTTAACATACCTACTGTGTTCTACTTTGTAACTAACTGACTGAATTAAATAATTCAACTTGTACCGTCAACACAATGTTCACTGATCATTTTCACCTATATAATCAAGTGGATTTATGTTTTTCCTTTTTCCTTGCAAAGTAATAAACACATTAAATTGTTACGCAATACTTTCGGATATTGATACATACTGATATTCATATATATCCCCAGCTTAAACTTCAAGTAGTGAAGTGAAGTAATCGAATTTCTCCACGATAAATTGGGTCATTGTCGATGTGTTTGTTGCTTGAGTGCCAAGCTTCGAAAAAAAAATTCTCTAATGTTCTTTGTACTCCTTCTATCCAGTATTTCAGTATTGTTCCATTCGACTGTATATCCATAGTTGTTCATAGTTATGAATATAGTTTTCTTAGAGAACAACCAATCTTTGAGACTTTGACCTACAGGTCCAGTGCATAAGGAAATGCAATCCCATGATAACCGGGTGACTAACAATAGTTTCATACGACATTTATTCTCTCAAGATCCTGTAGCCTAGATGTACCAATGGTTTGTAATGTGGGTTTTTTCCAACTCTTGTATGTAAGTTCCTCCATATCGGCCGACCTGATTTAAGTAGTCTCTGCCAGTCGCTGGTTTCTTAGCCTTGCAATTTGTTAATCAATATGTCCACCGCGAAAAGGCAGCTGTTAGGACTTTGCTGACCGTTACTAATATACACGTGGTCATATGAGAGAGCATTTGAAGAGTGCGGGCGGTCTGATTGTTGTTGTTTTGCCGCTTCCTCTTGTTATAATGTTTGTTTTTTTCTGACAAGAGCTGTCTTTTGTCCCGACCATAGCTGCTACCTTGACGTGGTGCTTGTCGGGCTTGCCTCTATCGTGATGACCCAACTGAGCTATATTGGTTGGAACTTTTGTTCCTGAAGGTTCTACCATGCCAGGCAGGTCGATTGGATAACGATGAGACCATAAACAGCTACTCAAGGTCTGAGGGCGAAGTCGTACTGCTGACTGCAGAGGGGTGTGACAGCAGTAAAGTGTTTCCCTTGGACAACCAGCATCTGCAGAGATGCTGCCTTATCACAAGGAAGGAAGGGTTAGAAAATGTCGACCATAAATATGTCACACCTCACCCTACCTCACGGATTTCCGTCTCCGACGGTAAGGGTGCTTACTAAGGGCTTTCAAGAGCGGAGCTAATACTCGAAAAACCTTTCATCAAAAGGCCGTTCGTGACCGGCCTCAGGTAGTTGTCCCTTGGACTCTGTGGTCACGCTCCCAGGTCTCTAAGACCGACATTGATCTATCTTCCTTTTCAGGTTCCTCACGAAACAGCCTTCCACGGTGTGGACAGCGTGGAAGTGACAACTGCCCTCATACCTGTAACAGCACGTGTGACTGAATCGGTCATAATCAAATCCTTCCTACATCCTCTAATATCTCTCTTATCTCCACGACTAACTCTACTCACATTTGGCTTTTGCCAACTTGTGTCACCTCTTGTTATAATGTTTGTTTTATTTTTGACAAGAGTTGTCTTAATTACTTTTGTGATTTACACTACAAAAATAATAAAGTCTCATAGAAAAAATTAATGTAACTTTTGTGGTTTTTATCTTAAACATTCGAGATTTTCATTAGGCGAGTTGAATAGTGGCTTGCAGTAATATGCAAGATGTATGTTTTTAATCGTAATTTGATACTCCTATAGTTGAACCTGCCACCTGCATCTTATAGAATAGATGCTCACTCTGGAATTCGAACTCTCGGCATCAAGTTTGCTGCCAACATACCATCCGGTTATTGACTTAGCTAATGAGTCCAGATAAAAATGTCTGGCTTATTCAATGCGATGTTGTGTCCTATACATGAACCAATGCACAATTAACCTTTCAGTAACCAATATAAAACTGGGACCGAAGTGATATACTCGTCAGTCGATATGCTTGAAACTATTACGAGTTCACCTTGGTCGGTAAACGAGAGTGAAGACAAATGATCCAGTGATACGGTAGGCTACTTTCAAGGCCTCACTAAATAGAAGTCTTGATAAGGTGTAGAAAAGTGCATTCTACAAGCACCCAGAAAATACTAGGTTAATAAGCAAACAAATCGAGTTTATTTATACATGATAGAAATGTCCTAAGGTAAGAATGGCAGATCAGTAGATGAAGTAATGAAACTTCATCAGTTGGGGTGGTTGGGAAATGTGCTGCGTATGACTAACCACCGACTGCCCCGACGAGTTTTGTTTTGTAGGGCCAAACCAAAACATGGCAGAAATCCATGAAGTCATTGACGAGTGGACTGAATCATGTCGGTAGTTGTTGAGTACCTGGTTGGGTCGGCGAAATGATAATAATCGATGTTTAGAGACCCTGAATGACATGGCCGGAAACCTTTCGCAATGGCTCAGGTGCATTTATTCTTTGTGTTCTCTCAAATCCTAATCTTTTGGATTCTTCAACTTTCTAAACTTATCTCATTGAATCATACTTCTTGAATAATAACTTCTAATCCTAACCTCTCCGATTACTTTTAATACCTTAACTACCTCTTGTACTATTGGATTTGAATTGACAAATATATCACTGTGCTGATGTGGTATGGCAACTTGACGTTATGTACTTACGTACGACGTTTTACGTTGCATCTGACTGACCGACTGACTGACCTTGGGAGAGCCACAAAAATAGCCTACTAAAATAACACATCAACCAATGACAGTCAAAGATTTTCTGGGTGGGAAATGTAATCTCAAGGTCAACTGATCAGCCCATGCCCGAAAACATAAAATCCAAAATTAGGACCTCCATCAAGTGACTTCTGGGAATCTGACCACCCCAACAACATCCTAGATTGTGAACTGTTAGCCAAAATATCTATCTCCACCTTGTGAGGTCATGTCAGAATTCATCTTTGCTAACTTGAGTCTGATTACTTGCAACCATCCTATCATTCAGTGTAATTATCGGATTCTAAATTGAACATGTTTATGCAAAAACAGAAATTCATACACAAGAATGAATATCATCAATAGTTGTGCGCCAACAATCTGTCAATAGGGATTTCGCATAAGCATAATAACCGAGTATCGATCGTTTTCCCTTTAGAACTCTTCATTATGTTGTAGACGAAAGACACCAATGGTTAGAAGAGACCTTAAACGACATGACTCAGAATCGTTTGCAATGGCGCAGGTGCATCCACTCTTTGTGTGCTCTTTAAAATCGTAAGGATGGCAAATCAATAGATGAAGTATTGAAACTTCATCAGTTGAGGTGGTTGGGACATGTGTTACGTATGGCTAGCCACCGACTGCCTCAACGAGCTATGTTTTGCAGTGTAGGAGTAGATTGGAAGAAAGCTAGGGGCGGCCAGATCAAAACATAGCATAAATGCATGAAATCACTGACAAGTGGACTGAGTCATGTTGGTAAATGTAGACTACCTGGTTGGGGCCTGTGAGACGGAAGTCACCAATGATTAGAGACCTTGAACGACATGGTTCAGAATCGTTTGTAATGGCCCAGGTGCATCCACTCTTCGTGTGCTCTCTCAAATCCTAATTTTCTGGATTCCTCATAATTTCTATCTTTCTCTTTCTAAATTTCTCTGACTGAATAATACTTCTCGAATCATATTGTCGCTCCTTAATCTTCTCCATTACTCTCTAACACTTCTACTATCGCTATCACTATTGGATTTGAACTGACAATTACGTCTCTGTGCTAATGTTGTGGTATGGCAACCTGAACTGTGATTTACTTACGTACGAAGTTCTGTGCGTTGTATCTGTCTGTCTGTCTGTCTGTTTATTCATTATGTTGTAATTTGTGTGTACATTGCCTAATTGATCATTGACTATAACCTTCCGAATTGTATGTATGTTGTTGTATTTTTATTGATCGATTTTCAGATCTTAAAGAATACGTTGTTTACAGTTCAAAGAATCCCAGTGATCAATTCGGATGAAGCAAATGTCAATGATGATGTAAAATCCGTCGACCATCAGAATGGTAATACCTGTAATATTGGTAGCGGTAGTAGTAGTAGTACGTCTGCTGATAGTTCTATTATGGCTACTAATACTACTACTGCCACTACAACTACTGATTATAATAGTAGTGCGACCTCTAACACTACCCATACTACTACTAGTAATACTACTACTAATAACAATAATAATAAAAATCCCCCACTCCTTGATTCATCCGATTGTGTTTCAGTGAGTTTAAAAAGAAAACCTCTCTTTGAATCATTTAAAGCGGAACAATTTCATAATAAATCCATTTGA